ATCTGCTCTTTCTAGTAGCTTCAACCTTTTCTTCTCCAATAGCTCTTTCTCCTTCATCCTATCTACAAATTTGCTCCTCTAATCGATTAACAAAGCTTTGCTACAGCTTTTCAAAACATGGGCCTGTCTTCTGTGTATTTCTCAAAGAATAACCTATAGTTGTCTACACTTGCTGCCCCTATTTCTTCTCCACCAACTCATTCTTTAACCCCTATCATTCTGTTGACCTCTTAATCACCAACTGTAATGACCTTCACTGGGTCATCCCCCCCACCCTCCTGCAACAAACTCCTCTTCAGAGTTTGAGCCTGTGACCTCCTTCCTGTGTCCCTATCTAAATGACCTCCATGCCCTTGGTTCCACTTCTATTTACCTGGGAAGTACTTCTTTGGCATGTGTGCACCTGTCCCTGAAACCCTCTTTTCTCTTTCCCCGTCTCCTTGGGTGCTCTCATCTGTTCCTCTAGCCTCAATCCTCACTGTCCCTACTATGAGCCTAACCCTGAGCGTCTTTCCTCTGCTTCCAGCCTTGTGCCATCTGCTGCAGCCAGATTTCTCTGCCCTCTTGCACTCTGCCCCACAGTGGTCTCAGCCCCGCTAACCAAGCTAGTCTCTTTACTGTCCTCCAAATCTTGATGGATTCACACCTCTGTAGTTTCACTATTCTATAGACAGACCAACATGCCCCACCCTCTCAACTCAATATTTTTCTTCATTTTCCATAAAATCATAGAAAAAAAATAACAAAATAAATCCTATCCATTTTAAGGTGCAGCTCCAGCTGCTGTCTTCTAGGGAGCCTTCCTGTGTAGGTGCTCACCCACCTCTGACCTCCTAGGTGTTTACTGGCAGAGCCCACAATGTACTGCTGACTCTCCCTTTTCTCTAGGTAATGTGTGAGTCTTGTCTCCCACACCAGGCTCTGGGATCCCAAGAGGCTTAGAAAGTGGAGTGTCCACACAAGGTGTCTATTCCTCAGGACAATCTGAGGGAGACCGCATCAGATGGTATCTAAGTTCTCTCCAGCTCCAGTGTCCAAGGATTTGGAATTTGAGGATTCTTTCTAGACTGTTTCTCTGGGGAGGTCTTCAGAATTTCTGGAAGGTGTTTTCAGTTAGCAGACATCCACATGCGCATGAGCTGCTGACAAGAGTGCCCCCTTTTGGGGAGCTGAAGAGAAACCAGGCAGGTCAAACATTCTCTGTATGGAGGGAGAGGAGAGTGTCCTGGGGATTGACTCCCTCTCCTCAAGTCAGTCAGGAAATCCAGAAAGGAACTTTTGAAAATCTCATTGCATAAGCTAACCTTCCCTTCCCCATACACACATACACACACGCACGCATGCACGGATGCAAGCACTTCACCTCTATTCCCTGGGGGCAGAAAAAGTCCCCCAGAAGCTCCTAAGGAACATCCTTCTCCCCTTTCTCCAAAAAAGAGAACTGTCAGAAGCCTGGGCTCAAGGCCTCACCACAAATCACAAAGCATGGCTGCCCCCATGGGGCTTCATTGAGCATTGCAGTCTCCATCACTTCTTGGCCCCATCATGATGTAACAAACCTCCATCTCCAGCCCAAGAAAACACTAACGTACTCCACTCCATTGTCTCAGCTCCTTCCCCTCCCAGTACGTTCTGACCCCATGCCTTTCAACATTACACTCAACACTCCAATACAGTGACACACCCCTATCGCCCCACCACTAAGAGTCCCCCAATCCTGGTGCTAGCACCCCAACTCTTCCATGCCTTCTGTACATCCAATCTTCTCAGGTCTCAAAATCTATTCTGAGCTTATATATTGTATCTCACCTCCAGACCCGTCCTCCTTCTCCCACCTTCTCCCAGATGGCCATAGTCATCTGGAGAACAAGCCTGTGTATTGTCAGTTCAGCACCATGATTGCCACTGTCCCTCTTGTGGGCTCTGAGAAAAAGAAATGTATACTAGGTAGCCTTGTATGTCGTAGGTCAGCTTCTCAAAATGTGGTCCGAGGACCATGGACATCAGAATCGCCTAGGGAAATTGGTTAAAATGAGATTCCTGAGCTCCACCAAGAACTACTCTGGTGATTCCCCTAACGGTTCGGAATCATTGCCTTAGATGCCTTATAATTCTATGAACTTGGCAGTGTTATTCTACTTCAAACAGGTAGGATGAGGAACCTCAGACATACAGAGCTTAGATAAGTTGGTGAGTCATACAGGCTGTCAGTGGCAGGGGATTCACGCTAGCTCATGACCCCACAGAGAGATGGAGCTCTTTGGTGCCTAGGAACAGCCCTCTGCACTGTGGGCTCAGTGTTAGGCCGACAATAGGCCCCGCACAGAGTAGTTAAGGCCAGAGTGCATGGCCCTAACAGGAGCCAAATCTGGATTTCACATGTTTGTGCCACAGGCAAGCTTTCCTACACCGCAGTCACTTTCTTGTCACACAAGAGTGCCAGGCCAGACGTGCCTAAGCAGAGTGGCCCTGCGAGTTCCCTGAACTGGGGAGTGCGGGAAGCGCAGCTGAGGCTATGCCGCCCAATCCTCTCTTGCCATTGGCTCGATATCCCCATGTGGAGCGAGGGCGCCACTCTGTGCCTGAAGTGGGGACTGCACGTCCTGAGGGAGGGTGCTGGAAAGGTGGTTCTTGAGGTCCAAATTTCCCACTTCACCGTCCCGTTTTAAACACACTCCCATGCTGATCCCCATCTTAGACACATTCTAAGTAACTCCTAATCCCTGGACTGCATGAAAGCCTGGAATGAGAGTCACAGGCCAGTGTCTCTGGGTACTCAAACAGATGTGAGAAAAAGCAGCCTCCATATTTTCTTTCAAATCCCAGAAAACTGCTCCAGATACAATGGTCTTTGCCCAGGTCAGATTATACACCCCTGCCCTTCATTCTAGAACCTCAGCCACCATAGCATTTCTGGCAAAGTCTGGTAGTATTCAGAACCACTGCCATGCTGGCTGGCTGCTTGTTCAAAATATTTTCTCATTTGTCTCCAACCTCCTTAAAACAAGGACCTCAGAATTGGACCCAGTATTCCAGGTGGCCTGATAATTCCAGAAAGCAGTAGGGTAAGACCTCCCTTGACCTGGTTGCTCCTTTTTGGTTAATGCAATTTGTTATTGTATTAGAGGTTTTAGCAGTCACATCACCCGGTTGACTCATATTGAGCTTGCAGTCAACTAAACCCCCCAGGTCTTTTCATCATGAACTGATGTCAAGCTGGCCCCACTCCTCATCTGGTACTTATGTCATTGATTTTGTTTTAACCTGAGTGCAGGACTCTACATTTATCCCTGTTAAATTTAATCTTGTTGGTTCCAGCCTGTTGAAATCGTTTTGAATCCTCTTTCATGCAAAGTACTAGCTGCCCCTCCTAGCTCTATTACCTGCAAACTTGATGAGCCTGCTGTCTTGGTCAGTTGTCAATAAAAATGTCAGACAGGACACAGGCCCAGACTGAGCCCTAAGGCATACTTCTGGAGACTTCTCTCTAGTCTAGGCTGACATGGATCCATTTATCAACCCTCACTGAGTCTGGCTCTTCACCAAGCTTCGTGAGCATTTGGTTCAGATGTTTCTGCTCAATCTACAGATATTGTGAGAGGCTGTCAGCTGCATTGCCAGAAATTTCTCCTGCCCTAGGCTGTAGCCCCAACGTCAAGGCCATGCCCTCTTTTTACTCTCTAAACCTCAAGCATCACTATTTAACCATACCTTCAGGAGATTATAGACTTCCAACGGTGCCCCCTCCTGCATCTCTTGAGGTGTAAGATGTTTCTGAGTGTTAGGACCTCCCTGGGTGTAATCGACTTTACTATTTCCTATCCCATCACCCCAGTGCCTTCTCTGAGACCTTATTCTCATACTTAAAATTCTCTCTCCTACAACCTTCTTCTCTGCCTACAAATATGTGTGGTGGCCTCCCTCACCTAAACCACCTTCTACTAGCTGCCTCCTTAAACTGTGCTTGGCTTATATCTCCAAAAATCCAAATACTTCCAACCTCACCTCCCATGTCTCCTGAACCTTCAGCAATCTTCCATCCCTCAGCTGAGTAACTACACTGCCCGGACAGTAAGCAGTGTTGGTAGAGATGGGGTCGGGGTTTGGGAGTCAGTCAGAAGATTCACAACCACGCCTGAGAAATCAGGTATACTCAGGTATGGAAGCTTAATAAAGAGAGCCTGGGAGCCCTGACACACCAAAGTGAAGCTGTGGTCAAATTACAAGGTGATTGGGAAGTTCACGGGAACTGAGACATGAAGTTAGAGCTGAGGCAAACTGGGCAAGAGAAGACTTAGAAAGGTCTGGTCACAGACAAGAGCAGCAAACACAGATAAGTCTGAGCCTGGAAATTTCTAATGTATCTCCTGTAGGGGCTGAAACCAGTCCTGGGCCCAGGTCAGATGGAAAAAGACAGCCTGGCTAAAGTAGGGACGATAAGAATAAAGAGGAGGGCAGAGCCTGCACTTTTCCTGAGCTCTCATCCCAGACTATAAACCAGCCATTAGGAACCCAGGGAACTTCTAGTTCAGGAGTCACACACTCAAAAATCTATTTAGGCCAGACAAATCACGGAAGTGATACAAACCAGGTATAAAGTACCAAAACGAGGAGTGGTGACTATGGCAAGCTGGAAGGAATATGACCACAGGGATAGTAGCTGTTAGCCTCCAGCGAACTGTAGGCATATGGGAAATGTGATTTTATCGTTGCCAGATCTTCTGCTTTTCCAAATAAGCCAAAAACCTTTATTTTTTTATTTTTTTATTTTAGATGAAAGTTTATCTTAAATGTTGCCAACTAATTAAAAAGCTTTCAAAAACATGTCTGTAGGCTGCCATCTTAACTGCTGCCAGTTGCCTGATACTTCGAGAGCTAAGACACCTGAGTTTGTGGTAACACTACATTTAGTTTCCCTGTGATTTTTTTGATATCCATGAGGGTTACTTTTCTGTATAGAAATAATTACCCAGAAATCACATTGGTTTTAAAAGTTATATTCAATTTTCAAAGTTACATATTCAAAATCCTAGTTCTTGTCTAAGCTTTTAAGTTCAATTTCTACAAACCTTATTATTTTGCTTATAAAACAAAGGAGTTTGATTTAATATAAGGTTAATGTTTGATTTCCTTAAGGACTTCATTTATCTAAAACAAACCTTCCCAAGTACTTAATTACTATATCTCCAATAAATTAAGTTTATAAATACAGCACATCTTAAATCATTTAAGTGTTCTAAAACTATACAGGAACTTAGCAAGATTTCAACTTAAAATTCAAGTCGAAATACTCGGCACTCTTTAGTTGACATTACAAAGTCAACCTGTCAAACTTAGAAGCAAATTCTCTTCCACGTCAAGGATTTAAGATACAAACTGTAAAGCACACACAGCAATGCTGTAGATTTGATGTTCTTAAATATGTCGATCCCTCAGTCTAAGTCCTCTCGTATTAAAGATGCTTACCTATCAAGGAAACAAGTGATGCTGCCCCATATATTTTGGAGGTTGCCTTCTCAGATGGTTGAGGTTGCAAAGCAGCCAGAAAGAAGGTTTAGGCCACAGACTGGATTCCAAGAAGGGATCCAGAAAATCCTATTTGCGGCCTGTGAAGGCCCAATCGCAGGACCTCCATTACTTAAAGAGGTGGGGTCACCCAGCTCATATGCCTGGGTTTAATACCCTTCAGTACCTAACTGCATTTTCTCAGAAGTCTAGAACCTTACCTAGGCTGCCATATACCTTGATTGGGAGGTACACTGCCTTGGCCCTGAAAACACTCAGAAGTCTTTCTGTCTTAATGATTTCTGCCTTCTTTCTAGATTCTTCCTTTCTGAGAGGACCACACCCTTACAGGTATTGAAATGACAGCTGGTTGAGTGCAGGCCTTCTCTCACAACTCTGACTTGTGGTCACAATTTCTGAGGTTCTCCGGCAGAACTCTGGTCTCCTCGCCCTTAGTTCACGGTCCCATCCTCCATTCCACACTGCCCCTCCCCCTTGATTGGCTTCACCCTCTAGCACTCAGCACCCGCCTTTTTTTCTTTTTTCATCATCCTTTCTTCACCCATCCCCATGTCAACTAGATGACCACAGGATCCCTACTTCCTCACCAATATTGCAGACTTCTGCCTCCTTCTCCATGATTCTTCTCATCACCCTCACACTCCAATTCTTTTAGGGCAACTGATCTCACCTTACAAAAGGGAAATCTGATACTACTTGTTTACATTAAGGTGTGGACAACTGAGTCCCCTTTATACTGGGTAAACTGGATGCTTTCTAGGGGGAACAGAAATGAAAGAAAGGGAATTAACGTTTATTGGACACTTACTAGGTAGGCCCTAGGCACTGGGTTGTTTCACTTGATGTCTTATTCATTCCCAATAGCCACATGAGGGGATCTGTTGAGAAATCAAAGCTCAGAGATAAGTCATCTTATCAGTTAAACCAAGATTCAAACCTAGTCCATATAACTCCAAAACATATGCCCTTTCTCACCACACTGCTTTTCCTTCTTAAATCAAAACAAAATCCTTACTAGTCAAATGTTGGCAGAGTGAAAGAACAGGGTTTTGGTGGGAAATGCTGCTTTACTACTTCCTGTTAAAAATACAGGATGATCAAATCTGTGAACTCCTGCAACTCTTGTGACCCACTCACTCTGGAAAAGTTCTCCTAAACCCCCACCCAACAACAAACATATGGTGTTCATTTTAGACAGCATTTTCACATATCTCATCCCATTAACCCTGTATGGAAGGTAGCAGTGCTATTAACCAATTTTAAAGATGAAGGGAGGGACTGAAGCATAGACAGACCAATATGGCCCCAATCACCCAGCCTATGAAAAATACATCTGAGGTTCACATGTAGGTTCACTGCCCCTGAACCTTGTGTTCTTTCCACTCAGCCACACTGTGTCCTCCACAGACACCCTTTGTTCTTCTGGGGATTAGGTGGTAACCTAGAGCCTAGGGCTCTGCTTCTGCTCAAGACCTGTTTCAGGGATTTTTAATATTATAGAAATTATAGAACACCATTTCCCAGTAAAGGTGGTTTGAACTTGTCCTTGAGTCAGAGGTCCCTAAGTAAGGGCAGGGACTGATAACTTGAACAGGAAACTTTATGCCCACACCTCTGCTCTGTTTATAAGCTGACAACTAGACTCGCCCTAAGACTAGAAGCAGGAACTTAAGTCAGAAAGCTTGATGGGAGAGGTAGAGGCTTTGAAAGAGAGAAAGGTTGGGACCACTGGAAGCCAGTGATGACTGATATGGAAGTTACTCTGCTAAGCCTTTAACATACTTTACTTCATGTACCCCTGACAAGGTAGGTACTATTATACCCACACATGTGAAGTTGAGCTTCAGGTAGCCATTTGCCCAAGGTCACATAGAACGACAGATCTAGAACACAAAGGCAGCTATATAAAGCTCTTGTTCTCAACCACTACCTATATTGCATTCTATACTATATACTCGAGGTAAAAAACCTAAGCTAGATGTAGCTTAGATTTTGGGTTAAGGAGCAGAACTTCCTTGAAGGGCAGGACTGACCTCACCACCAAGTGAATAGGTTTTAAGCAAATAAAATAAAATATAGCAAAATTTTCTAGGGCCAAAGAAATCTAGAAGCGAAGAGGTAAATGCAAGCTGACTACAGAATGGCCTGCAGTCCAGAAATGGCTTAGCACAAGCTAAAGAGGGGTCTTCTTCACCCATGGGACTAAGGACCATGGTCAGAGGAAAGAGGATGTATATGGCTAGAGGGGGACTGCAGAAAGGACTGGTTCATAGTGGGGAAGAGGGAAGCAGCAGAGATTAGGGCAGAACCTAAGAGATCAGTATGGAAGAAGCTGAGAATTCAAGGCAGCCAGAATATACCTTGGGCCAAGGTCCGAGTTAACTGGGTCCGGCATCTCCTCCAAGTAAGGTATCAGATGGCTCCAGAGGCCAGTCTTCTGAGGAAGGGGGCAGTGTAGGCACCACAAATGAGCAAGTCCATCTACTCCAAGACAAATCTGGCCCAGCAACCAAAATGATTTTCAAAGATTCTGTGACTAACCAAAGGGCTTTCTTCTTTTTGAGGTCCATCACCTAGCTCTTTCCCAGGAATGATTAACAAAACCCTTAAACACGAAGGAGAGCTTGTTCTGGGAATGACAGAACTCAAAGGAGAAATTTATGCCTTTTACCACTCCTTAATCCCTGGTTACCTTCTAGGTTCAGTTTAAAGTACGTTACTCCCTGCAGGAAGCCTATGGTGAATACCTGAGCTTGTCAGGTGCTTTCCTTTGTGCCTGTGTAATGCTAATTGCGTGCTTATTGCCCCCACTGAACTGAGAGCACATGGGTTGGAACAAGCACAGGGTCTTCCAGAAATGCTCCGGGGCACTCCACAAATGGTAGTTATTAAGATCCCAGTCTCATATTTTTTTGAATGCCCCTCTGTCCTAGAACAATCTTAAAATACATATAAATACACTGGCAGGCAGAGAATCAAAGTGAACGCAGGGGGCCCGATTTGATGGCTGCAGTGTCTCACAGTGTGAGGTTGTTGGCAATAGCTTCTCCAGGTGTGGTGGGAACTCATTCAGCTGCCCTCGCCCCTGACACAGTGTAAAGAGAGCTTCTCGCCCTGGCTCCAGGCTGGTATGAAGAGCAGTAAAGTCTGGCTGACCAGGCAGAAGAGCCCCGACATTTCCGTTTCCTTCCCTCTAGGACAGGTTTAGGTATCAAGGCGCCTTTAGCCCCCAGCTCAGTATGGGTTTCTCCAAGGTATTTTCCTTATTCTTCCCCATGCTTTTCTTGAGAGGGAGAGTCACTGGAGATCTGCTTAGAAATCACTAAAATCAAGTTTCTGAATAAGTCACATAAAAAATATAACCGCCACTACCAGCAGGCCATTTATTAAGTGCTTGCCAGGCACTGTGCTAAAGCTTTACATTGTTTCAGTTAATCCAACCACCCCGAGGTAGATATTTTCAACAACCCCTTTCCTCCCACACATATCATTACCCTTGAGGAAACTGAGGCTGACAGGTTAAGTCAATCAATGTCAAACCCAGCTGGTATGCAGCGATGCTAGAAATCTGAACCAAAGACCTTTGACTCCAAAATCCATGCTCGTAAACACTATGCTAGAATGTTTCTCATTGGAAGTTAGAAAGAAATTCTCCACCCCAAAATATTACCTAAAGACCAGATTTTAGGTGGGGAAAAAGGCCCATAATCAGCTATTGTACTTAAACACTTGGAGGAGTGAAGAGACAGCCTGGGAACAAGCTGACCACTGGGTCCCTTTCTCCTGCTGCCCAGGCTTCTAGGGCCTCGCTCACTGTAGGTCTCCACTCCTGATATGACTACTCAATATGCTGTTTCCTTCCAGCAAATGCGGAAATGCAGAGGTAAACTCAACCTGGTGACTTGGAGCATGGCCAAAAACACCTGAGAGAAATTAGGAGACATTTACAAAATGCCCACCATCCCCTAACTGCTGGACCCTAAGGCACACAGATGCATTTAGATGGAAACAAACTTCAGTTCTTCTACTCTGGCTTGCCAGGCGCCACTCCTGGGGAGTCTCCTGCCCAATACCCCCTCACTGGTTCTCCAATGTTCATGACTCTCTAGGTACCCTCCCCTCACACATCTCTGGAGGCCTCAATGATAACAGGCCCCTGGGCCTCAAGGCTGCTAACATCTGCAGCTTCTTCCCCTAGAAATACACGAAAAGTGTTCAGCAGTGTTCTGAGGATCCCAAGACTGGTGAGGATTAAACAAAGCTGGCTGCAGCCTAGCGGAAAGGGCCACCAGGGTTAGAAAAGCTAAACTGGGATGTATGGAACAGACTAAAGAATGACAAGAGGACAGAGCACACATAGAACAAATGGACTAACCTTCAATTAATAAACTATCAAAGTCAAAAAAGAAAAGTGACTAAGATTAACAGTGATGACCCTGGGGAGAGGGAGCTATAAAGTCCATGGAAACACTAGCAGTCTGGAGCTTCTGATGAAAGGGTAACTGTTTAGGAAAAAAGACCCTGGTGAAAGGGCTGCTAGAGCGCCTGCGCAGGGGGAGGCTGAGCAGGAGAAATGGGGAGCTCTGGAAAGGTAAGTTGGGACATCTCTTTAGAGCAGGCAGTTTGCAAGGACACCAGAGATGTGGGCAGGGACTCGAGGCCAAGGGCTGAAATCAAGCCAGACCAGAGCCTCTGGAACCCCATGAGGCACTTACAGGTGCATCTCAGTATCCACCGTTTGGGTAAAACTGGTCACTGAAAGCCATTTCCTGCAGCCCTACCAAACTCTGCATTGAATTTTGAAGGGTCAAAGACCCAGAGATAGGAAACTTACCAAAGGGAGTGAGACAGCCCCATCCAGGAAGCTCACATTCTGAGAGAAGACAAAGAACCAGCATACTGCCATACTGCCCCCCAACACTTGTCGGGAACCTCTAGTCTAAGAAACCCACCAAATACGAGTCACAAAACTGGGGAATACTGGTTCAAATTAATATTGTCCTTGAAGTTTGAAGAGACAGAGGAGGGAGGAGAGGAACACAGACCTGGAGAAGTTTTAAGTTGGGCTTCTCAGCATCTTAATATCTGCTCTAACACTGGGGTAGGAGCCTCAATGCCCTCCAAATAACTACAGCTGCACTGTGGGGGAAAAAGAAAATCAATGTTGCTGGGAGGCCCAGAGTGAAGTGTCCCTCCATTGGGAGCCCAAGGCTGAGCGGATCCTGGAGGAAGAGCTCCCTGCTCTCTACTTCCTCCCTTGAGTGTCTAATCTTATCCTCACAGGGTACACAATACATGGCTTCATAACCTCTAGTTATTTTATGTAGTTTACTCTCCAACTAAGAAGCTCCTGGAGGATTTCTCCACATCCTGCAGTGTTGGAATGTAACAAATATTTGTCACAGGTGGGGTTATCTGGAGCCTTGATCATAAAAACATTTTTTTGCAAACAGGAAACATTGTCCAAACTATTCTTTGCCCCAGGCTTCTATCTGACACCCATCTCTCTATCCCTCTTTGTTGTCTGTTCCTGTAGCAACCTCAGGCTGGGGAATGGGTCCACCTAGTCTTTCTTAAGAAAGACCAGCTCAGCCTGTTTGTGGGAACAATGAAAGTGTAGGTAACCTGAGTCTCTAGGGGGCAGAGAGAGGGTCTCCCAACACTGGGCTGGGCCATTGATAAGGATCCTTCCTCTCTCAGTCTCCTAACAGATTCAGATTAATGATCGCTCATTCCTAATTGTCAAATTTCTTTTCCTTCATCCTGTGTCTAATCACCAGTGACAGAAACCATTACGCAAATGAGAGCAGACGACTTCCCCCAACTGTTCACGTTGGTAAAAACCTTGCAATTTAGAGCTCTGATTTGTAGGGGAAGCTGGTCTCCCCCAGGCATCCTGGGCATCTGCTCAACTGATGCCCAGAACAGCCCCTCCTCCCACTCCGAACTCCAGCCCCCCAACAAATATTTGACTTCACAAAAGAGTAGTTTTCTCTGTACCTGCTGGTGTAAAAAAATGGGATCCTGCATCATGGCTGACCTCCATAGAGGCCCCAACCCCCACCTTCCCTTGGTGCCTGCTTCCACAACAGGGGTAAGTACCAACGCAGAAATGTTTTCTCCACCCCAAGTAGAATTTGAGCCTGAATGGCCCTAATCCAGGTAAGTGAAGGGAAGAGCCATGATCTCTTCCTTGGGGGAAAAGGAGGCAGCAGAACATGAATCAAGCTTCTTGGTGATCATCTAGAACTAGATCTTCAATTCTATCAATGCAGAAGCATGGTGGGAGAAGTTATGGGACCTATTCAAGGACACACTAGTAACACAATGGGATCCAGAACTAGGTCTCCCCTCCCCATAGCTCCTTCCAGAACTCTTAACTCATAATATGGCTTCCTGGCAGTTTTTCCCAGATGCCTTTGGCTGGAACCAAGAGCATTCACTAAGCACTGCACCTTCTTGGGCTAAGCGTGCCAACCAACACTAGACATTGCCCAGAAAGGTGAGATCTGAGGATAGACATACAAGGGAGGAGGTAAGAGTCAACAAACTTTGGTGGAAAAGGAACAGCAGGGGGTTTGTAGCTAAACAGCACTAGATTCAAATCCTAATTGCCATTAATCAATCTCTCTGAGCCCATTTCTTCAGCTATAAAATGAGAATACCTACCTTGTAGGATAGTGAAGAACAAAGATAAAAGCACTACACCCGTCCTAGGGGTCTAATAATCAGGGGTCACTATTATAGTACTCAAGCATCAGAACCAATCCTGTGAAGGTGCCTGCCCCTTGGTCACCATAGGTCAGACTTGTGTCAGCACACAACCCAGCAAGGACCAGCTAAAAAGCACACACCTCCCTGCTGCATATCACTCATATCTTTGTGGGCTGAGCCAGGAATGCAGGCCTGCTGAGAATGAAAACAATCTACTATCTTTCAAAGTGTGGCTGTGGTCAAGTTTATCCTCCATCTGCCTTTTCTCTTTGTGTGCTCTTTTTTCCCAAAAAGAGATGGAGGGATGGACATCACTGCAATCACATTTCCAGCATTGGCTATATTTGAAAGAACTACACTTGAGAAGGTACCATGTTTGCACACTCGCACTGTATCAGAGAACCCCAGAACGGGGTACTAAAATAAACACCCCTCCCCAAAACACACACACACAGGTGCACACACCTACACACGTCCTCTCAGTCCATCAGTGCACTGTGACTGTAAACTGAGCTCTGGAGGTAGGAGCCATAGCTCAGACACTGGAAGTAAACCTTTGGCCAAAAAAAAAAACAAACAAACAAACAAAAAAAAAAACGGAAAAAAACAAACCCAGAGACTCCAACTCCTCTTTCCTTCCAGAGAAGGGGCATGGAGATGGGAGTGGAGGTGACAAAACACAGGGCCACCACATTGCCCAATTCTAGGGGCCCACTTCCACTGAATAAATGTGAATGATGGCCCTTCAAGTTGTGCAGTGTACAGCTGCCCAGCTGTAAGCTGCAGCCCTAAATGGGGTTCCCATGAGTAACTATGGAACGAAAAGGAAATTCCACTTCTGCTCCACCTGTTGCCCCAACTTTTGAGGGTATTTGTGGAACATTAGCATGGGGTCTGACAGAGGCGCTAGCTTTAAGAAACAAGGCAACATTTTTGTCCTTGCTGTGAGGTGGATGACACACAGTGAGTTAGCTACCTAAGCTTGACCCCATTTTGTCTACTCAGCCAGAAAGCTCCACAGGCGTAGAGAATGTGCCCTGGGCAGGAGAGTCGCAGGACCTGGAGGCTCTAGCATCAGCCTCAGGCAGGTTGCAGTGAAAGCTGACTAACATCCAATGGCTAAAACTGAGTTTAAAAGCTTTAGGTTAGATCAGGCAGTACTGCCCTGGGGTTTCCACTGTATGTCCCACTGGACAAGGTTAAGCAGTAGAGAAACTTGGTAAGCAGAGGCAGGCCAGTGTGAACACACACGCACACACACACACATCCACACAGAAGCTTGCACCTCTAGAACCCAGGGAAGCCACTGCTAGGACTCCCTTAGTACTCGGCACAGGGATCAAGAGCTGGTGCTGAAAGAGAGAAGGTATGTGTGTCTGAAATTTGGAACTTACGCACAGTCCTTGGTTCTTGGGTCCCAAGGCTCTTTTCTATATATGGCTTGAGCAAGAAGGTCCAAGTTGGAACCCTGTCTAATTCTCTTTCATAGGATGCTCTCTAGGCTCTTGAAGGGAAGCCTCCCTCTCACTCTCCCATTATAGTCGCAGGAGCCATCCCCACCCAGCCTAGAACCTGACTCTGTGAAACCAGAAAAGAGGCTGACTGACCTAAGGATCAGGATAGCTCTGGCCCTACAGCCCAGAAGTAGTGGGCATCCAAGAGTGTCTCCTCTCTCAGACTGAGGCACTGAGCAGTTGCAGGAAATAGGGCTGAGAGCCAGAAGTGGCGTCCTGACCCAGGAGGGCGCAAGAAAGATACACACATGCGTGTGCATGCACGTAACATGCACACACATCTTGAGGTTGACAGACTGACACACAGATATGATGACATCCAAAAGCTGGGACTCCACACACTGAATGCAGGACTTTAGGGGGGGCAGAGAGGGAAGGTGTTGGGGCACAGAGGCAAGGGTAAGAAGTCCCTCCAAATGGGAGTGGAGTGCCAACCACCCTGCCTTGCCCCAAACACCTGCCTCCAGGGCCATGGCAAGAGTCCAGTCCATTAAGTGCTGCGTGCAATACTAATGCTTGGAGTCTCCTGTCCTCATCAATGAAGCGGTGTGGACGGGCTAGCAGTCACCTGGCAGGAGGCCTCGACTCCTGGCAGGCTAGTTGTAGCGGCCCTTGATCATTGTGTTCAACAAGGGCCCCACCTGTGAAGAGACATGAGGAGCCAGTCAGAACTGCCTATTCCCTGATCCTGGAGCTGGACGGGGGTGTGTCTGGAGACATTCGATATTCAGCCAAAGGCAGAGATTAGGCTTTCATTTAATCTTGTAAACCCTCTAACCAATTCTCTTCCTGGAGATGAACCCAGTATTTTGGGACATTGCCCTCTCCTCTGGGTCCATCTTTTATCTTCCCTCTCACAATACCCTATATCTATAAGCAGCACCAAATTGACAGACAAGTCAATGGAGCTAATAATTAATAATCCCCAAACACTCAAAAGTGTTTGTCTGAATGTTTCATAAATGTGTCTTAGGAATGTTACATGCCTCTATATCCTGAAAAGGTCACCTGCAACTGGGGCTAGTGCCATCTCCAAACCCCACAGGTCGTCTAGATGCTGATGCTATCCACAGGATGGAGGCAAGAGTGTTATAAATACAAACCTTCCCCATTTACTTGATGGGTCATTGGTACACCTGTGTGGGAAGCGAGGCCTCAATATTACCTAGAGCAGCCTTGGCACAACTAGGAGAGTGTGAGGAGATGCTTTATTGCTCGCGTCTCATTCCAGAATAATCCCTTCTGGGGTCCCTAGCTGGCACATAAGCCCCATGGGGGACATTACCACTAGCATGGAATAGAATATAATTGATCCGCCAGTCAAATCCAGCTCTCACCAGAAAACAAGGATTTTCTGAACATACCCATAACCTCTATGAAGACACCAGATACTGAAACACAGGTGCTATGGAAAATGTGACACCAATCCTGACTTTCCCTGGTCACTGCCCAATGAACTATAAGAGTGCCACCTTGGGGCAGCCACATACCTCTTGTGGATTCCCCAAGGCCTCTCCAAGCATCTTCTCAATGTTTCTCATTATGGCCACTTTCTGATGGGCTTTGAGAGGATATTCAATTCTCTTAGGGGTGGGGGCCCCCTGCAAAGGAAGCAGCAGCTCAGGAAATGCCTTTAACAGGAGGCTTCAGTGTCACCCCCTATTCCGAGTACCATCCTCCCTTCTTAGTAACACAGTTCAAGCCCATCCTTCTTCATCTCCCCCAAAGACCTGGGAATCACTTCCAAAGATAGCCAACCTCCCCACCCTGCCTCCAAATAATTTATTACACCTACCTCACCCCAGTCCCATCTAGGAAAAAAAAAACAAAACATATTCACCTTATACCAGAAGTTCACAGTGATGGTAATCCCCCCATTTAGTAATGACTCTATGTGATGCCACCTGCAAGAAAATAAATAGGCTACTGTTTGCCACCAATACTCTTCAGAGAGAAGAATGAATAATTAGAGTCCAGCTAAGGGAAACAATGAAGACAGTATCTTTGCTCATCCAGGCAAACACACCCTGAGGCTTGAGGCAATGTATTTGATCTCTAAATACCAAAGAGCCAAGAACAGTTTCTCCAGCCTAGAACCTCTGGGACCAGTTTGGACCTGAGGAGACAGGGCTATCATTTCCCCCATGTTCAGTATGCTCACATCTGGATATGCCAACCTTCCTGTAGATAACATAAGGCCAATCCTGCCACAACTCAGAAGGGACACAAATAAAGCTTTCCAGGGACTGGAAAAGTAAGCTCCCAAGAACCCCAGTCCCAGCCCCCTCCTCACCAGTACATTGGGATGTAAAGAACATCGCCAGGGCCAACCACTGTTTCGTAACCAACCACATTCTGGAAATTGGGGAACCTCTCGTAGTCAGGATTGTCAAAGTCCACCTGAGAGGTTCAAGAGAAAGAAAAAAAAAATCACCAAATTTTTATGTGCTAGTTACTCTGGTAGTCAAAAAAAGATGTTTCAAAAATGTCTTCAGAATTTATATCCAGCAGAAGACACAACACATATTAAACATACATACACTCTCTGAGAATGATGTAAGACAGGCCATACTTAAATGCTGAGTGAAAAAGAATCCGAGGCCTCAGTGCTCCTGAGGTTAGAAGCCAATCATCATAGCTTTCAGGTCAGAAACCTTACTCATGGCCGGCAGATGAGGAATGAGGGCTCATCCTTCACCCAACCTTCACGAACTTTTTCCTAAAGATATATTCAAACCAGCCAACACTCCTACATGTTGTAGCTAGGCAGCTTTCACCTCGAAAAAGAAACAGAATTCTCTGGTTGGCCACAAAGTCAACCATATACCCCGCTTGGATCCAGAGAAGACATTAAGTAACATATCTCAGTGCTATTTGCCCTTTTCATCAAAAAGTTGCATCCACAACAAAAGAAAACAACAATTATTTAATCCAATGGAGACATACACATTTTGTTCCATGAACTTGTAATCCAATCAAACTCCATCAGCATCACCTCTAGAATCAGCTCTATGGTGGTATTCATACTTATAAACATCTGGGGACTACCACAGGGGCCTGGAATAAATGAGCTACATTGTGAAATTATCCTCTAAGTTTGTCCAAACCTGGCATACCACCATAGGGAAAGGGGGAAGACATTCCAGCCTTGGCTCCCCAAAGAGTTCTATGCCCTCCTCGGATCACACGAGCTCACCTGGCTCTGTCTGTCACATGGGTGATGAACAGGATATGGGTAGAGGCACTCAAACTGATCCGGAGGGAATAAAATGCATCGCTTGTAGCCCTTTATCTGAGCAAAGAAGTTCTGCTGCTCGTCATAATGAGCAGGTGTCACATTTCCTGTAGAAAGAAAGACATTTTCTTAGAACAGGGCCCAGTGCTAGAAAGAAACCCATCCTGCCCTCTCAGCTCAGGATTCCTAATCAAAATTTCAAGTAGAATCAAGGAGATGGCAATTACGACTCAGCAAATTAGGTGTTACACTTTTAACCAGAAATAAGACTCGTGATTAGGGCTCAGAATCAATTAGCAAAGTAGACTTTCTTAAGTGATGGCTTAAATGCTTTCCTTACTGGAAGCAACAGCACATCAAAATTATACCCACAAGTCTAGCAAAGTAATATATAATTATACTCTTGGTGACTATGGCAAGAATTCAATGGCAGCAAAACAAGAGTTAGAAACAACTGAAATGAATGGTATCAACAATGCATGCGTGATCTTATTTGTCAAGGATAAATGGTCGTTTAAGTTGCCTAAGTATGTACTTGCTTTGGGTAGCTCTTTTGGAGCTCAAGATTCTCAACCTTTCCTCCCACTTTGACACACCTATGGGATGCAACACTTCTTAGAGCAACACTGGAGCTATTGATTCTCATAGGAGGAAGCATATCAAATTTCTAAAGAGTGCTGTATAATCTAGATAAGACAAATTATTTCAAATGCCATCCTGAATTAGTTCTGCCCTTGTGTGTGTATGCTCCATCTACTCTTTATAACTGAGGCCACATCTGTTATTTATCCTTTGTGTAATCCTTGAGAGCTGAAGGGCGCTCTACAGGCCATGGCATTTAGAAAATTCTCCAGGTCCACCAAGGTGAGCCAAGACAGCTGCTTTCTTAAGTGCTGAGAGTTCCTGTGCATCCTCAAAGGGGATTTGCTCTTTCATCTCTACCTGACAGATTCGCTTCCTTGCACTCCACCACAGGATAAAAAGGCAACAGAAAAATGCAGTCAGGTAAACCAGAACTGGCTCCTGGCAGGTGAACCAGGAGCTGGCTTCAAAGGGGCAGTTTTAAGCTGAAGCTGAAGAAAGAACAATCAAAGGGGGAGAAGATACTTCAGAGCCCAGTGGTGAATGACAATGAATAATTACTCTGCTTTCTTGTTCAACCCAATTTACTCACCACTTACTAAGTATGGGCCTGGCACTGAGCTAGTGCTAGAAATAAAAATAAAAATGAAACAATGTTCCTGGCTGATAAGTAAGCTCCTCCTCCTGATTGGAATTTAAAGGATTCTTTTATTCAAAAGGAAAAAAAAAAGAACATATTCACATATTTGTTTATGTATGCATAAAATTCTCTACAGACACAAACAATGAATAACATGAGGTGCCTTCAGTGCAGGGAACTGGGAGGCTGGAAAACAGGAGTGGAAGATTTATCATTACATACCTATTTATATCTTTTGAATTTAACCCTGTACATGTATTGTCTATTCAGAAGACAAGGTTCAATTTATATTGAAAAAATAATTTTCCTCCTTCTACTGAGATAAAAATCTGAATACAGACAGATCCAATACAGAGCAGTATTTCAGAAATATCTAAGTATACACACACAGCAACTGAAGAAGGGAAAAAACTTTCTTTTTAGAGAACATGAAACTAGCTTAAAGACTTAACATACATTCTTATTTAATTTTCATAACTGTAGGATACTGTGTTCCTTTTGCAGATGAGGAGACTGAGGCTTGAGAAAGTGACTGCTCTAAGTCATGGAGTGAATAAATGGTGGGCACAGGATTAGGAACCAAGTTTGTATGACTCCAAGCTATGCTGCTCTCTGAAAAATTTCTTACCTTCCATGCCGATGAGCAGCAGATTGGAGGTCAGCTGTCCCCAGCCACGCTTTCCCTGTTGCTTATTAATCCAGTTCCAGTTAAAACCCAAGAAGTCCATGACAATCTTCCTGCCCACAGTGTCATTGAGTGTTTGCTGCAGATACAACCTATGTTCCCCAAGAAGACCCCATTAGTGCATGTACACATGGTCCCTTGGCAGGGCCTCCCCACATCTGGAAACTTAAGCCCAAACTCACAACAGCATGTCCCACAGAGAAGAGCTACAGTGACAAGAATCTTAACCACCACAGGTTCTCACAGAATTGAATCCTTACTTATCCTTCTTTGAGCTCTGTTCAATACCAAATTTTTTATTTTAAAAAAGTAATTCTTAACCTTTTCTGGTCACAGCATAAATCCTTTAAGAATCCAAGGAAGGTTCCCTATAAAAATGCAGGTATATACAGAACTCACACAATTTCATAGACTCCTCAAAGCCTATCACAGACCTCAGAATGATGAATCAGCCTTGATGCAGAGACTTTCAGGGCCCAAGACATCCCCAATGGCCCTTAATGGTCACTGTGATAGATCATATTACTGTTCACCCAGAACTAGTTCCCTTCATTGTGGGAAATTTTTCTTCTGTATCCCCTTGAAACCAGGATTGCTTATTTAACTTGCTTTGGCCAATGAAATGTCCACAGAAGTGACTTATGTTGCTTCCAAACTATAATTTTAAGAACCAGTACACACTACCACTGCATCTTCTCCCTCTGCCACAGCAACTGCAAAGTTTCAAATAGTAGCTGCTGGGGCAATCTGGGTCCCAAAGTGAAAATGATGATGTCAGAGCACAGCCTCCTCCAGGTGACCCACATATGTTCACTGAATGGAATTACACTCCACCAGCACTGCTTAAATTGATCTGTCTGAACACTGGATGTGTGTATGTGTGCATGTACATATATGCATGCTGTGTTAATTTTGAGAAATTAATGTATGAGATGATTCAAGTAAACCAGTCTTCATGAGATATAAATAACAAATCAATCATGGTTCAGATTTTAGAAACTGTTTTAGTCAAAGTTCTATCATTATGACAACTAAGTGTCAGGAAGATGAGAAAAAGATATTTCAAATGCATTAATTTAGCCGTATACTGATAACAGGGAGTCAGGAAGAGAACTGAGGCAGGAGACTAGAGAGAAGCCCAGGGTTGGGTACCAAATTTGAGATGGAGATGGTCAATCACCATGAAGTACTTAGTGAAAGCAACTCCCCAGATACGATGTTCTAGTATGAGACTGAATACTGTCTGGGACCTACCTAAGAGGCTGTCCTCATAAATAGGGATAAAAGCAGAGAGAAAGAATCATTCCCGTGTATGTGTGTCTTGTGTTTGCTATCACTAGTACAACATGGAACATCAATATCCTTCCCCTGCTCCTCCTCCCCGCCCACCCCTCTCCATGTCAATCTAATCTTGTCTTCCCTAAACTAGAAGATCCTGATATCCTTCGCCCCAGGATCACAACAATTTACACAACTTTTCACCTTGAACTGTCCCCAGCCAGCCTAGTATCTTAAGACACAGGCTGCAACTGGCAGTCTCGGGGATAAATCAAATGAGACATTTTTGTTTGGCAGCCTGCAGCATTTTTAGAAATCTGAATTTGCTGCTCACATTTAAAAGTCTGAAAGATTTTACTTAAATATCTTGATTTCTGGCTTCTCTTCAAAAATCAGAATATCTGGCTACCCTGAGACTGCACTCCCAAATGGAAGTGAATTAAGTAATGACTTCTCACTTTGAACAGGGTGTATGCATTCAGCCTCATCATAGTTTTTACCCAGCTTCACTCATTTTGTTCACCTACCTGACCGGTCCTTTTAGGCAACTGCGGCTCTCACTTTATGAAAATGACACAGAACGGTTCAAGTCTCATCATTCCCTCCTCCCTCAATCTAGAGAACTCATCCAACTACTCTATGTTCTTGAACAAGCACAAGGAAAGGAAAATAGTGCTTTAGAGCCAACGTAAAACCAACATCTGGGAACTTACCTCTCTTCCCCTCCTCGCTGCTGTATATCCTGCAGTTTCTCAACGAACTCATAGAATTTCATTTCCTCCCTGTTAGACCTTGGCTTAAAGTTCTGAAAATTAGCCATCTTCTTCTCATCATAGTACAAGAACTTATGGGTACTGGCACTGTACACAGAGAAGTCTCCGTTGCCAATATTCTCTTGCAGGTATTCAAGGTCCCATTTCAGGGCAGGATACACAAGATTTGTATCTGTTAGCACCACAGGCTCCTAAGCAAAAACACCAGGTGAAAACAAATGAAGCTGTCCCAAGAAGCTGGTGGATTCCTGTCCCATGATTCCAACCACTACCCAACTTGAGAATAATTTCTCCTGTTAACCAACACGAGCCCCTCAAATCCCATTTATCGACTTAAGGTAATTAATCGCTTCCCTCTCAAGCTACCCTCAGACCCTAGTCCACAGCCTTGCCAGTTCCTCACTTTTATCACCGTTTGCCTTTGACCTCTCCTCTCAATCTGCTCCCTCCCCCACCCGCTTCGGACGCGGCCCCGCCCCCTACCTCATTCTCGATAAGCTCCTCTGCCCGGGGATCGCTCTGACTCAGACGCGGGATAGGCCGAGTCGGGAAGCTATAACTGCGCAGTTGGGACTCATCCCAGGCGGGGCCGGGGGCTTCAGCCTCTTCCCGGGGTTCTCCAGAGCCTGAGGCCGCAGCCTCCGCCGCCGTAGCCTCCATCACCGCCGCTAGGGACGGCCCCACCGGAACCGGAAACTCCGCCTATTCCGGATAAAACACAACACAAACCATAGAGATGGGCTGCGAGAAAGAGCGGTCCAGAAACACTAAAAACACGGAGCCGAGGTTTGTGGGAACTCCTCCTAATGGTGACCTACAGCTCTACACTCTAGGCTCCACCCCCGAAGACCTGGGCCAGACGTCAGTCCCACTAAAAAGGGGTAATCACCTGGTTAACCAAGTCACAAAACATTACTGCCGCCTCATTGTGCCCAGTCCTACACAAAAAGCAAAGGGGCAAGTTTAGTGGAGCATTAAACTTTACACTAATGGATGGGGAGAGAAGCAAATTCTTGACCTACCTAAAGAAGTTAGAAGGAAAAGCAATTGTCAGATTGATGTTGGGCAAAGGGTGCTCTGAAGGTGTAGGCAAAAGACATATGGCAAACTGAATTCTTTTAAAACCAAAGATGGTTTTCTTTTGTTTAGCATCATGTGATTTTTCTGCCTGTGTTACCATCTTTCCTACTTGAAGATAGGAAAGTCCCATTGCCATGGGACTAATGTCATTATTACTTGCCAACCATGAACATACCACATTTTCAAACAATTTATATTGGTTATAAAAGGCCCTATCAATTACCACTATTGTTTACTTACACAGTTCTTATGGCTGGCTGTTGAAGGCCAAATTCTAAGATGGATACAAAGATTTCCATCCCATGGTGTGCATGCCCTGTATAAGTCTCTTCCCTTGAATGAGAGCAGGACTTAAGAATATGATAGGGTATCATTTCTGCAATGAGGTTATATTATATGACAAACATGTAATTAAGGTCCCCAATCAGTTCACTTTGAGTTCATCAAAAGGGAGATTTACTCTGGATAGGTATGACCTAGCTCTTTAAATCTGGATCTAGAGGTCAGAGACAGAAGTCAGAGAGAACTGAAACCATAAAAGCTCTCCCACTGGCCTTTAAGGAGCTAACTACTATGTAGCAGAGAACAGCAGGTGGGCTCTAAAAACTAAGAAAGGCTCTTGGTTGACAGCCAGCAAGAAAGCAGGGACCTTAGTCCTACAACTACAAGGAACTGAATTTTGCCAACAACCACTCAGCTTGAGAAAAGACACAAAGCCTCAGATGAAATAGCAGCCCCAACCAATACCTTGATTTCAGTCTGGTGAGACCCTGAGCTAAGACTCAGCTAACACATACCTGAACTTCTGACTAATGGAAAATGTAAGGTAATTAATTGGTGTTATTTTGGGCTGTTAAATTTATGGTAATTTGTTATGCAGCAATAGAAAACTAATATACTGGCTTAACTATGTAATTATGCTACATAATAACTATGCTATACCAAACTGATAGTGGAGTTACCTCTGTGGAGGGTGTGGGGCTGGGGGTAGCAATCGAGGCTTTAGTTTTATCTGCAATGTTTGAATTTTTACAAGAATATATTAATATGCAACCTTGGGAATTTAAAAATTATACTGAGAATACTCATATGACTAAAATTAGGAATGAAGAAAGGGATATTGCTACTGGTTTTGCATAAATGAAAAGGCATATAAAGGAATACTATATACACACATTTGCATGCCAAAAAATTAGATAATCTAGCTGAAATGGACAAATTCCTAGAAAAGCACAAACTATCATAACTGATTTAAGAAGAAATAGGAAATCTTAATAGACTTGTAACAAGTGAAAAGATTGAATTAGGAATTTAAAATGTTCCACAAAGAAAAGTCCAGAATCAGATGGATAGTATTGATGAAAAGTATTGACACCAATCCTTCACAAACTCTTCCAAAAAATAGAAGAGGGAACACTTCATAACTCATTCTATGAATTCAGCATGACCCTGATACCAAAATGAGACAAAGACATCACAAGAAAAGGAAATTACAGACCAATATCCCTTATAACTATAGATGCAAAAGTCCTCTACAAAATACTAGCAAACCAAATCCAGCACCATATAAAAAGATTATGTACCACAACAAAGTGGGACTTATTATAGGAATGCAAGGTTGGTTCAACATCCAAAAATTAACAATATTAATAGAAGGGAAAAAAAACACATGCTCATCTCAATAGACACAGAGAAAGCTTTTGACAAACCCCAACACCTTTCAGGATTAAAATGAAGTCCCAAAGGACACTATCAAGGAAGTGAAAAAACAATACACAGAATGGGAGAAAATATTTACAAATCATGTATCTGATAGAGGACTTATACCTAGAATACATAAACTCTTACAACTCAATGAAAAAAAGACAACCCAATTAAGAAATGAACAAAGGACTTGAATAGACATTTCTCCAAAGAAGATACACAAATGACCAATAAGCACATTAAAAGATGCTCAACATCTTTTGTCACAAGCGTAATGCAAATCAAAACCACAATGAGATAACATCGATATCCACTAGCATGGCTATAATAAAAAAGACAGGCAATAACAAGTGTTGTTGAGAATGTGGAGGAATTGAATGCCTCATACACTGCCAGCAGAAATGTAAAATGGTGCAGCTATACTTTGAAAAACAGTTTTGTAGTTCCGCAGAAAGTTAAACAGAATTACCCTATTTTACACAAGCATGTTTACAGAAGCATTATTCATAATAGTCAAAAGTGGAAATAACCCAAGTGTCTATGAGGATTAAAATGGCATATATCCATATAATGAAATATTATTTGGCCATAAAAAGGAATGAAGAACTGATACATGCTACAACATGGACAAATCTTGAAAACATTATGGTAAGTGAAATCAGACACAAAATGCCACATATTGTGATTCCATTTACATAAAATGTCCAGAATAGGCAAATCCATAGAGACAGAAAATAGATTAGTGGTTATAGGGGATATATGCTAATGAAGATGGGGTTTCTTTTGGGAGTGATGAAAATTTTTAGAATTCGACAGTGGTGATAACTGTACAACTTTGTAAATATACTAAAAAATGACTTTATTTTACACTTTAAAGGGGTGAATTTTCTGGTATGTGAATTACATCTTAAAATAATACATCAATTGTTTTTGATCCAAATTAGATCAGGGTTTGCTATTAATTGAATGCGGAATGTTCAATTATCCTGAACATCAACTAGTGACAGTCATTTACAAGAAGGCAAGTTGTTGTGAAGTAGTTCTCCCCAAAATTTATATATGGAATAGTTTATGTCACTTTTTATTGCTCTGATGTACACTGGGGAAGTGTCTATAATAATGGATTCTGCTCCAAAACAGTCATTACCCTAAAAGTTCCTGGAAATATGTGCAAATCCCACTTGTGTAAATAAGAGGAAAACATTCATATGCAAATATAATAACGTCCCCCATTCTTAAGTCAGCTAGTTTTTGTTAATTGTGTTCTGGTTTGAAATGTATTTATCCGAGTGCTAGCAAATCAGACACTTCCGAAACCTGCCTTTGGTGATAGGATTTATTTTACATTTGTTGGTTTGAGGTGACTGGGACATTGGTATGTAAACACGGACTGAAACTAAGGAGACAATTTGAGGTCGATTTGTGTGTTGCACTGCGCGTCTAAGTGAAAGAGATCAACGAATTTGGAAAAAAGAACAAGAATAAGCAAGACCAGGGCTGAATCTGAAGAATGATCACATTGGGGGATGAAAAGACTAAGTGCTAGTGAAGGAGAGAGAAAAGGCAAGCAGGCAGAGATTAACGCAGGCTCACTTTATCTGTACTGCTCCAGCAAGAGGTGGGCCAGCTATCCATCTAAGATGCTCAGGTTCCGAGTCTTCATTATCTCCGATGCGTCTAAGTCAACTGAGCGAGAAAAGAGACACAGCAATCTGAAATATCAAAGCAGTGACCATGCTTGGTTTTTCTCCCTTTCTTCCTTTCCTTCTCTGCCTCAAACCATCCGCTCATCTCTCCTCTGGCTTCCCAACACCGTTTAAGTCCTGCTCTGTTGAACTCTTAAGACTTTTCTTCACGACCTGCCTTCTCCGACGCGTTTGGCCCGGCTCAGCCGCCGTGGCAGGCCTTTGCGCATGTGCGGGGCGAAACGGGAAGAAGGTGAAGATGGCGGCGGCCAGGGCTAGAGTCCTGGGAGTCCGATGGCTGCAAAGGGCATCCCGGAACGTGGTGCCGCTGGGTGCACGAACAGGTCCGTGAGAACGGGCGAGGCCTCAGTGTAGGAAGGGAATGCCTGAGGGTTGGTGCGTCGGGAAGAGGATGGGTATCGTGGATACTGCGGCGGCCGTGCCCGGGCTGGGGGCGGAGGTGGAGATGGTATGTCCAGAAAAGCGTGTGGAGGATCTTGCTGGGTCCTCCGGCCTTCGCAGGCACTGCAGCTTGATACCTTCGGGGCTGCAAGAGAAACAGGGTCCCTTCTGACCTGTCGTATTTGCCCTCTAGCCTCCCACATTACCAAGGACATGCTCCCGGGGCCCTATCCCAAGACCCCAGAAGAATGGGCTGCCGCCGCCAAGAAATATAATATGCGGGTGGAAGACTACGAGCCGTACCCGGATGATGGCATGGGGTGAGATACAGCGGGTTGGCTCACACCTGGGCAGTGATGGGAGAAAGCGGCTGGGTTAGCTGGTTTGATTCTGAATCTTTTCCCCCGAACCTTCCCGTGACCCATCATCGTCAATAGTGTGGGTGCTTTTCTCGGTGGAGGGAGGGGGGAGAGGATGGGTGAGCAGCTGCAGCAGAGAGTACTTCAATTTTCTCCTTGGCTCAAGCTGTTTCCTCAAATGAGGAAGCGAGGTTTTAATAGTTCCCTCGAGGACCCCGGAATCGCAGGAACCTTCCTTGGCTCCATCCAGAGTGCAAGGTTTCATTTGGATTGAGCATCTGCTGGGCTCAGGTGCTGTCATCCAGGCATGTGACCAGGCTGGAGCGGGACTCCTGTCATGAGAACCCTATTTGTAGATGGAGTACTCTATATTTGTGTCTTTTTTTTTTTTTTTTAAACGTCTTTACTGTTGAGGCTGTAGAAATCATAGCAATTGTAAAGCAGATTAAACAGCCAGCTCCTTTACTCCAATTGATGTTATGCACCTCCCACCCCAGCCACGTAGCATCTCTGTGGTTAACTATCTGAAGTGATTACCATCACCCTCATTTTCTGTCCTAACATCACTCTTTCAATTGTAGTTTCAGCAGCTCCTATTTGTCTCATTTTCCAATCAGTTTCTGTGACATGCGTCTAGTTGTAATCATTTCCTGTCTTTTATCGTGTTGTGGAACAGAGCAACCTCAGGAGCAGTCTGTATAAGTTGAACCTGGATTTGTTGGGGAAGACCCAGCTTAGCAAGAAGTTCCATGAGGTTTGACACACGGAGATGTAGGCCAACTCGGTGGTTGAGGAACACATGCTATGAGAAGAATACTTTTCTAATCTGTACCCTTTTTGTTTGTATTCCAGTTAGCTAGTGACCTTGGGTTCAGATACTAAGCTTCAGTTTCATTTTCTGTCCAACGAGGGAATCAGTGTGATTGGTAGCTAAATTCCCTTCTAACATTCACACTGTGACACAGTGACTTTTGTTTCTTTTTGGAAAAAAAGGTAAAAGCTTATATGTGTTATGTTTCAGAGTTTGACATGAACTTTTAATTACAATTTGGACTTCTGTGGTTAGCTCTATGCTTAGTGACTACAAATTGAGACCTTGATTTGAAAGTCAGTTCCTCTATCCTTAGGTGAGGCAGTTATCTTTGTCATTTGGTTTCTTATCTTTGAGATGTGGAGGTTCTGAATTGTCTGAATGACACTCAGAGCCCCTTTTAGAAGTTCTTGCTGTCTCTCAGGTACGGCGACTATCCGAAGCTCCCAGCCCGCTCACAGCATGAGAGGGATCCATGGTATGACTGGGACCATCCAGATCTGAGATTGAACTGGGGTGAACCGGTGAGAGAACCATATCCCATTTAACCTTCCTTCCTTCTTGCTAATGTCTTCGTGGGAATTCTTTAGCTTAAATAGCACCTCTCTATCCAAGTAACACTAAGGTTTTCTGCTGAAAGAAGAATCCAGTGATCTGAGATCTGAGGTTCCATGTGTGGCATGTGAAATGAGACTTCTAAGAATAAACAAGTTCTGTATTGTGAATGTTGTAAATGTCCATGATTGAGCTATCTCTGGTCAGCAGAACCTAGACATAAGCTAGCATCTAGTCCTTGGGCCAGAGTATCTCAAGCTTGGCCCTCAGAATGTTGCCCAGGGCAGTAGAATGCCTTTCTCAAGCCTTCTATCAGGCTCTGATCACTCTGGATTGCCTGCCTTTTGCAGGAAGAACTGTATGTGACAGTTATCTGCCTTTCTGCTTCAGATTCATTGGGACCTAGACATGTATATCAGGAACCGTGTAGACACCTCCCCCACACCTGTTTCATGGAATCTCATGTGTAAGCACCTCTTCGGCTTCGTGGCCTTCATGCTGTTCATGTTTTGGGTCGGGGAGGCTTACCCCTCCTACCAGCCTGTGGTGAGTATCTGAGAAGTGCTCCCTTAGGTGTATTTACTTAGCCCCATCTCCTGGGGAAATGAAGTCTCTGGATTAGAGATCCAGCCAATACCAAACTTGGCTTCTGGTAAGGCCTATAGAGGGCCTTACACATTGGCCTGACACAAGAACCAGGGCACTGCTCCATGCCTACATCTTGGATCAGTCTGAGTGAGAAGAAACAGTTTAGGACTCGGGGAGGGATGAGAACACGGAAGCCAGCTAGTCTCTCAGAGTTGCCATTAGGGGACTGTACTTACCAACTATATTTCATCAAGTGATCTTTCAAGGTAGAGTTATGGAACCTAGAGCTGAAGCCTTATCCTTTTTGGAGGAGTGAAGTGTGCTTTCTGTGGGGTACTGAAAGCAATTAAGTGTTTACTACAGTAAATATAGACAATTACATTTTGGAGGATGTAAATGTCAGAAAAAATACTATCTGGCTCCAAGGAAATTGAATTTAGATAAGAAAATTTAGATAAATGACATGATGAGCAACATTTGAATAGATATATAGGAATTTGGCACAGTTTTTTGTGTATTTATGTGTGTGGTGAATGTATGTGTTAAGGGATATGAAGTGTTAAGAAGAAGGGTTATGCTAGATGCTAAAAATATATATAGACTCTGGATAGCGGGGAGAAGTTGGAGAGAACATTTAGGGCAAGAGAAAACAATGAAGGAAGGAAAAGAAGAGTGAGTTAGCTGGAGCGGAACAAGCATATAAAGGAGATCCTAGATAACTAGTTACCTGGAGAGCTGCTAAAGATTTAGATTCTTGGGCTCCACTTCCTGGATAGCCTAATTCAATAGCTCCACAGTGGTGTTCTAGAGTAAATATTTAACAAATTCCCAGGGAATTCTGATGTCCTGGAAAATCAGATGTGGATTGCTGTATTAAAAATTATTGTGAGGTGCATTGATCGGTTAGGTTGGGCAGCTTTTACTCAATGGCTGATGAATTTGGACTTAGTGGTATAGTAATGAATTAATTCAACGAATATTTATGAAGCCCCTACATGTACCAGGTACAGACCATGCTAAGGTTTGGGGATACAGTGATGACTTAGTCTGCCTATAGGGAGCTGGGAGCCATGCTGGATTTTTGAACTGAAGAACGGCGTAATGAAAGCTAGGTTTTTAGAAAGATTAATCTAGGAGTAGTCTACAGGATAGATTGTAAAGAAAGGAACTGAAAGCAGGGAGGCTGCTGTGTTTGCAGTTGGCTGCTCAGTGCTACCTCTGCAGAGATAATCAATGTCCTGATGGTAGCTGGTATGTCTGTGTGCACTGACACGAGCCTTCCTGCAAGCCCCAGGGGCCCCAGGCTGGAGAGTGCATGGAAGGCTGGTGTGAGCACTAACTTCACTTCAGGAGAGCAAGAAACACAGTGTGGCTCTTCCATTTTTCAGTTCTGTAAGCACATCACCCTTTTCTCCTCCCCTTGAGCTGTGTTCTCTGACAGCTGTTTGTTGGTAAAGCCAGCAGCCCCTAAAGCACGTCCCAGCCGTGTCTCCTCTGTGCTTTCCCCCACTGCTGCTCCTGCACGCCTCATTTGCTAGGCCACTTTAGTGGTGGAACCATTAGAGGCTGAGTGACTTAAAGGAGATTGAGTCTGTCTCGACCCCGAGAGAGAGTGGGATGGATGGATGCATCGTCTCATTTAGAAAGCTCTTCCTCATGCATGCGCACACTCGCTCTCTCCCTCTCCCCCTTTCCCTCCCTCCCTCTCCCCCTTTCCCTCCCTCCGTGTGTGTGTGTGTGTGTGTGTGTGTGTGTGTGTGTCTCTCTCTCTCTCTCTCTACCTCTCTCTCTCTCTCTCTCTCTCACACACACACACACACACACACACAGTGTAGGCACCACTTCTCTTACAATCTAGGCTTTCTCTCAGCCTTGGGCTGGCTGATCTGGGAAAAGGAGTGCTCTTCCTGCTATTCCAGCCCAGCTGAGTCTGACCAGAGGCTACTGCATACCCATTTACTATGCGTGACTTTTAACTTGGGGGCGAGGGGCTAGCTAGGTATTGGCTGGATGTATGTTGTTGCTGACCTGTGTTTTTTCCTTAGGGGCCAAAGCAGTACCCTTATAATAATCTGTACCTGGAACGAGGCGGCGATCCCACCAAAGAACCTGAGCCAGTGGTTCACTATGAAATCTGAGGCTTCATGGGCTTTGTGCTCCCGACTGACTCCCTCATTCCTACAGATTTAACATTAATGAAATCCCTAATAAAACCTAGTGCTGTGGTGTCTGTGCCTCATTTCCCTGGGAATAGCCACTGCCAAGAGGAACCTCATTCTTTTCTCTTTTTTGTGCCTGCTGTCTGTAAGCCCCACCCCACTCTAGATTGGAAGTATGGGAGGGTGGGGGAAGTTAAGCCCAGGAAGATGTTAATTTGTTAGTTTGCTGGGGCTACGAAGGGAGTTAAGGGTTCCATTTGTGCAGCAGGTGGGTGAGTTTAGCTCCTTTTCCCACTTACAGGGTTGAGGAAGGTGGAAGCTGTTCCTGACTTCCCAAGTTGGAACAAGATTTATTTCCCATAAAAAGCTTTAATAATAATTAACTTTAAAAAAAACTTGAAAAAAATTGGGAAAGAATTGTACTCTAACATGTTTCAAGTGTATTTTGGACTGGCCTAGGGCTGTGACTGCCTCGTCCTATTTCTCTCATAAGAATATGTATTATTTCAAAGCAACTTCTGAATCCTAGCTTCTTATAAGCCAACATAACCTATATTTATGAATTAGAGGACAGTTCATTCAGTTATTATTCAACCTATGCATGGCTTATGTTACCTTAAGGATTCATCTGAGCTCCTATAACAGCCTTAGAAGAAATTCATATATTCGAGGATCCTATCTCTGCATTTGTTTTTAAGTGAACCAACTTATATTCTCTTCTTCCCTTTGGGGACATTTTCTTAAATTACAATCAATATTTCCTGAAAACCTGACCCATAAAGCATACATTCAATATGATCTATAGAAGCAAGTCTGTTCAAGTTAGATAAGGCAGCATTTCCCAACCATTCTGGTACTAGGGACCAGTGCTTCCTATGAGAATCTAATGCCTGATGATCTGAGGTAGAGCTGAGGCAGTGATGCTAGCGCTGGGGAGCAGCTGAAAATACAAATGATGTTTCGCTTGCTTGCCCACCGCTCACTTCCTGCTATGTAGCCCAGTTCCTGACAGGCCATGGACTGGTACCGGTCCATAGTCTGGGGGTCGGGGATCCCTGAGATAAGGGATCCTGTAGTGGTTGTCCAGGCAGTGAAAGACTTAGGAGATCAGGGAGTGGGTACTTCTGAAATGCCTCACTGAAAATCTCCACTAGCTTTTTATATGTCTTCATTCTCTGTCCTTTAGGGCATTTGGTTATCATTTAACAAACATCTGTGTGCCTCGTATATATCAGACACTGAAAGGCCCTAGGGATATAAAGTTGAACAAGATAAAATAGTTGCCTTCAAGTAGTTACCTAGAAGAAGAGATTGGCAGTTATAAGGCGAAAAGAATTTCGTGAGATGTGTGAACTGTGAGAAGAGTGCACTTAAAAAAAATGTCCCGCTTGAAAGTGACCTTATGCCTTTGGTTCAAATTTCTTTCAGAGCTATCACTCCATCGGTGACACTTCTGCCTTATTCTCTTATTTGAGGTGTTGCCAAAGGTTCAGTTTTCAACCCTGTTGACTTTCCCTCAGGTCTCATCCACTTGTGCTAAGAAGTTCAAGAAATACTTAGTAGAGTGGGGAGGCACAGACAACGCCCTAAATTGTCTTCTGTTGATACTTGGAAACTCCCAAGTCCAAGTGAAAGGAATTGTCACAGTGACTTGGGACGCCGTCATAAGGTAACAGCTCACCGTCTTTGGAAGATATCAGGAATATGGTAGAATTGATGCATTATATGAAAGTTGAATCAAATAACTTTAGTCTAAGATCTTCAGCTGCCTACAGGCCATTTTTATTTGGAAATGCCATAATTCTCTTGACATAAATATATATGATCTTTAACATTCCCTCCAACTCCTCTATCAGTCACAAAAGCCTGTCCAGTTTTACTTTGCAAACATTGCCACTATATTAATCCAGGCTTTTGTCACCTGGTACCTGGATTGTTCTATTAGTCTCCTAATCTGAGTCCTTGCCTCCAGCTTCTCTCTAAGGGGAGCCATAGAGCTAGTATCAAAATACATTTTATTGCATCCCTACCCATAATTTTCAGTAACTCCCAATTACCTCCGAGTTGAATTGGTATTCCACAATCTGTATCAAGGCCTATCCATAGCCTCTTTTCATTCATGGTTATGAAAAGTGGCAAGGTGGCTATAAGCCGGTTTTGGCCCTTCCTCTTGCTAGGATATCAGCTATCTTGCAGCTCCAAGATATAACACCAGTCTCATGTACCCAAAACTTTCCAGGAAGCCCCTGGTACCTCACCATCCGCACACCTATAGCCCTTAATTAGTTCAACCAATAGTTTTGGGCACCACTTGCTGGGCTGCAGTGTGACACTCACCGCTATTAATGGCCTCGATTGCTTTTTACCTTTTCAATTAGGGTTCTATTGAGAGCTCCTGGAGCTGGGGCTGGGTTTTCTCCGCTTCAATAAGTAGATAATGAATTAGTATTTCCCTTTTCAGAGGCTGCCCCCGGAGCCTAGCTCAAATTGAATAAACCAGAATTTACTGGTGGCAGGATCTGACCGGCTGTGGCAGAACTGCGCAATCACTGGACAGGTGAGGGAGACCCATTAAATATAATCCTATTATATCCTCTCCGTGGGTGGGCTGGGTCCTCCGCCCTGCGCTTCGGGGCACGCGTGGCCGCGATGCCCTGCGGGTCAGGACTACTTTTGGCCCTGCACAGCCGCCGTCCGCAGCACCCAGCTATGCTCAGAAGCCCTTTGTGAAGAGTGGCCCTAGCTCGCTGCGCCTGACCCCTGGCCTGGCCTGGGCTCTCCCGGCAGGTTGGTTTTCCCTGCCTGTCTGGGGCCCCTGATAGCGGAGATCGTGCTGGGGAGCCGGAACGCCGCTCCTTCCTTGGGAGAGCGCCGCGGGGAGCTCGCCCTCCGCCGGAGACCCCGGCCCGCCCCAGGCTCCGGCTCGAGGTCCACATTGCGCCCGCCCTCGAATTGTACCCGGCTCTACTCTCCCTGCCGCGCCCGGCTCCCTCTTCAGCGCTGCCATCGTGCCTTACCGCCCACCCTGGGCCCTGACATGCCCTGTCCTGGTAGCTCGCTCCAAGTATGTGCTCCCTGCCAGAGCGAGAAGGCTTGTCATGACTGACCCTTGTGCGCCGCGCTCTGGGGAAAGCCGGAGAGAAGCTCTGCTGACCTCTGCCCACAGGGACCGGAGTGCTAAGGGTAACTGGTGCCTTCCATCACTGCAAGAGTCTGTTCAGCCAGCTCTTCAATGGTCATTGCTCTCCTACCTTCAACAACCCGGCTTCTGCCCATTCGGACCCCAAGCGGGGGCTTTTTGTATGAACAGTGGTCTCTGAACAAAGTAGATTAAAAGCCCATCTTCCCAGAGGCTAGACTGTTCGGATTTAAACGCTTTATGGAGTCTAGTTTAGACTAGCGTAATGCTTAAAAGCCCTGGGCTCTGGAGGCCGATAGGGGCTCGCATCTTGACCTAGCCAGTTTTCTTCTTTTAAAATGACGATGATAATAGTATTTACCGCATAGAACCATTGTGAAAATTAAATGAGATAGGCATGGAAGTGCACAGTGCTAATCTCAACTCCTAATTTTAAGGCATTTTCCCCCAGAAACGTGAAAATGGCTTTGACCAGCAGGTGGCACTGGTAACTGTGATACGTAGTATGATACTGTCAGAAGGCACCTTATGGAGCCTCCAGTGTTTAGAGGCTCTCCTGGAAATCTTGCCTAAATTGACAGTCTTAAGCTTTCTTCAAGCTGGAAAGTACATTAGAGGTTAATACTTATCTCCTGTTTTCGTAGGTTGAAAGTAACCTGCCTGTAGCTTGCTCAGGCAGGTCTTAGTGGGTTCCAAGTTTCCTCTCTCAAGTTCAATGTTACTTCCTTTTTAAAAAACTTTTTTTTTTTTTTGCCACTTTGCTAGCCCGTTGGGATATGGGCTAGCAAACCTTGAATATGCGTTAGAATTGGGTTGGAAACTACGGAGTTAAAAGGGAGGCCTGCATTTTTTCAGCAAATGTTATCAAGCACTATGTGCCAGACATTGTTCTGGCACCAGTTATAATACGGTGAACAAAGACACGGTGCTAGCTCTCATGGTGTTTACTTTATGTATGAGACTAACAATATAAATATAAATAAACATGTAATTATGAATCGCTATGAAGAAAAAAAATTGAGGCTGTTTTTGATTAGGTGGCTCACCTCTTTGAGGTGAGAAGCTGAGCCCAGAAAGCTGTCATAAGGAATCAGTCATACAGAGATTGAAAGGAAGAGTATTCAAAGTATAAGAAACAATTTATAAAAGCTGTAAGATAGGGAAAAGCAGGAAATACAAAAAGGCTAATGCAGCTGAAGCACCGTGAATAAAGGGGAAAGTAGCAGGAGATGAACTTGAAGTTATAGACTGGAGCCTTTGAGCAGGGCCATAATAAAGGGTTTGAATTTTGAGTATGATAGAAGCCATTGAGAGATTTTAAGCATAGAATGTCAAAAATCTATTTTTGATTTTAAAAGTTCACTCCTGCTGCTGTGTAGAGAATGAATTGGGTATAAGTAGCAGGGAGATGACCAATTGAAAGATTATTGTAGTAATCCAGGTGAGAGATGATGGGATCTTCAAATAGAATGGCAGTGGTGGTAGAGAAAAGTAGACAGATTCAGATACATTTTGGATATAAAATCTGGAAGACTTAATGATAGATGAAAAGGGAGTAAGAGAAGGAAGGAACAAGAGTGATTTTCAGGTTTCTCAGTTGAGTAGTTGGGTGAATAGTGGTACCATTTATTGAGATGAAAATTTGAGGAAGAACAGATTTGCGGGGAGGAGATGTAGAATAATTTCATTTTAGATAGACTAACTTTTAGGTATCTTTGCTATATCTAAGTGGAAACATTTGATTAGCAGTTCTATATAAGAACTCAGAGCTCAGAGGGGAGATTTGTATGGTTATATAAATTTGGGAGTCATCAGCTTATTGATAATATTGAAAGCCAAAGGAATTGATAAGGTCACTTAAAGATATCTGATTTGATGGTTATAACCATGGGGTCTGTGGTATCCCTTGTGGTTGAGTATCTTTTTGGATTTAAAGCATTAGATTTCAGTAACTGGGTAAATGAACTGTCCTTACAGTTCTGCAGATGGTCATGTACTTGTCACCCTATGTTGCCCTGAGATGCCCTATCCTGTGATGGGGAGAGAGAAACAAGATCTCGTGTCCACGGGTGCTCCCTGGATCTGGCCCTTAAGCTTGCCGTTTCTATTTTCAGTGAGTTGAGGGCCATGTCAGTTTTCTGCCACCTACAGGGCAGACCATGAAGCTGAAGGAACTTGAGAGGCCAGCAGTTCAAGTGTGGAGCCCAGCTAGTCAGCACCCTGTGTATCTGGCTACAGGTATGGCGATTCTGTGGACTAGATTGCAGTGGAAGTACATAGATCGAGGGGAGACTTAGTATCCAGAATGTTTTATTGAGCATCAGAGAAAGCTTTAGAATCATGGAAGGGTGGGACTGGCTCACAGCATAAACAAGGGGAATATTAGGTGTTTTTGCTGCTTGGGGGAGGCCTTGGGCTAGAGTTTAAGGCTAGGCAACTCATGCTTCTTTGCAGTTACCATTTGAAGAAGGGATTACCCAGTCCTCTCCTGTTCCTCCTCCTCTCCACTCCCTAAATGGTTAGGGTTAAGGAGAGGAACAGGAGAGGACTGGGTATACCCTAACCCCAAATCTATGCATATATTATTGCTCATTTGCTGCCTCTTCTTGACTTTTCTTGTGCCTAGGAACATCTGCCCAGCAGCTAGATGCCTCCTTTAGCACAAATGGCGCATTGGAAATCTTTGAGGTTGATTTCAGGGACCCCTCTTTGAACTTGAAACACAAAGGAGTCCTTTCTGCCTCAAGCAGGTACTATATCTGAATTGCTGATGGGTATGCAGGGCAGATCCTGATACAGACCCTGGTGGGGATCCTGTAGTAGTGTGTGCCTCTCAGGGCTCATGAGGAGACAAGTGAGGGGAGAAAGCCCTTCACCACATTGGAGAAAAGTTAACTCTGGGTTTATTTTGCAAAAGGATTTTAGAAGCACCCTGTCTCTTCTGGTGAGCAGCAGCAGCAGCAGATGGAATCATGTGATAGAGTTGCCTCACATAAGCCTGGACCCATGACTATCTGATCTCTCTGAACCAAGATGTATTGACTCCTTCCTCGCATGGCTCTTGCGAAGATAAGAACCTTGCACAATATCCCCCTTTTCTGCCAGCAAGAGGAGAATGAATGATCCTCTTCTCACGGCCGTCAGGGGCCGATTGGGTACTCATGGATTTCATGGTTCTGGCAGGCTTACAGGGCTGGCATTCACTTACTAGCATTCACCGAGCACATGTAAACATGCCAGGAACTATCTTAGGGGCTCTTTATATCTCATTCATTCCTCAAAATGAGCCTAAGCAATAAATACCATTATTCCCATTTCATATAGGAGGGAACCAAAACTCCGAGAAGCTAGGATTTAAGTCTCAGCCTAACTCCAAAGCCTACCTTCTTTCTATTATTCGACTGCTCTTTTATAAGTTTTGTAAAGACGAGGCTTACAGTCTGAAGCAAGGGTCTCCAAATTCTTTTTACCATCATGAAAAATGTGAATAACTATACTCAAGTTATAGATTCATCATAAATAATATACATTTATTACATTTATTAATAAAGTTCAATTTATGTCTTTTTTTAAAATTAAAAATGTAAATCTTACAGCCCAGAGAATTATCTTGCCTATCTCACTTTAGAGATTACTGGTTTAGAATGTTCTCTCGTGCATTTTTGGGTCCATCTGAGAGATTAGTTAAGATAGTTTTATAGAAGAACCTCTTCTTTCTTTTCATGGTTTAATCTAATAACGAAAGATTAGTTATTGTTGTCTTTTTCTTGAGCTGTATATTACTTTATGACAGTACTCTTATTTTGCAGTTTTTTACATCTCTTTGCATTTCTCGTACCTGCACCTTTTGAAGAGCAGGCACTTGAGGGTTTACCAATAATGATGAGATATTCTTAGCATTTCAGAAAGGGCCCCTGAAAGGGGTGAGCTAATTCAATAGTGTTTATACTCTTGGAGATAAGAAAAGGGGCAGTGGGCAATGGCTCTTATACTTGACCAGCTAAGCAGCAGCTTCAGCACAGTAGTGACTCCTTAGGGCTGAGTTTCTGAAAATGAGGCAATATAATTGTCTAAGAAACCTTGAAACTGAATCCTGAGATCCACGTGGGCAGAGATTTTTGCCCGTTTTATTCACTGCTGTATCTCTAGCACCTAGAACAATGCCTGACATTGGGTGCTTAATAAATATTAGTTGAATGAATGAATGAATGAATGATATCAGGAACTTGCGTGTTACCAAACTGAGCATTCTATCTACCACTTCAGTCAGTTATAGTCTTCAGTTAGTCTTGGTGCCTTAAGAGCTTTTAAAAGATGATGGTCTGTTTGTTTTGCAGCCAACTGGTTGAAGGGAACCTTTTCGAAATGTTGGTGCTGAATGTGGGAGTCAGGAACTTCACCTCTTCACCTCATACCCTGCTCACCCTGCAAGGATTTAAGGGCTATAACCAAAATAAATGCACAGTTAACACTGTGGATAGTGTTCATATCTACTTTCTTTTTCCACCTCTGTAATTGTTTCCAGAGATTGGTTCTCATTCCCAAAGACCTAAGAAATTACCTTTGACACAATCCTGTTGATGTCTTTATGAAGAAATCATCTTAAACACCCCAGGGTCTAAGATATCCACTTCTTTCTGTTCCAGCCTGGGTTAGGTCACTTACTCAAAAGTCATTGTCTATTGACCAAGAAGATCAGAGTAGGAAGAGGGCTACTCATTTTTTGCTTTGTGCTCGCTTGCTTTGCTTTTCCTTTCTTTCCCATGTCATCTACTGCATGGTTTACTGGAAAGCACAGTTATGTTGGATTGCAGCCTTGACTAAGCTATGTGACTTTGTCAGTGGTCTTAGGTTTCCTCACTTATGTATAAGGAAGAGATTGTACCAGACAATTTCTAAGAACTTGCTGAGCTTGAATTCAAATATGTTCAGTCTCTCCTTCCCTTTCATTTTCTAGCTCAGTCTCTGTCCTTTCTCTTTATTTTTTAAAAAACTCTTTCCTGTGTCTCTTCATTATTAACTAAACATACTTTTCAAAATCTTCCCCTTTCCTTTGCCTGACGTTTTCACCGGGCCCATGCCTCAACCACATTTGAATCCTGAAGATCTCTTCAATCCATGATGCATCAGAGAAATATCTTTTTAGAAATACCTGACTGAAAGAGAAATATTCTGAAACACTGGCATAGGTATAGATAAGGGACAGCCTAAATCTGTGAATAGACTAAACAGAGTGCATGGATAAATGTCCCTGGATGCAATCAGAATCAATATGGATTAGCATGTGCACTGAAGCAAGCGATGTTTGCTTTGTTAGATGAATCTCACTCAAGAAGAAAGATTTCTGGGAGAATAATACATTGTTTATGTATTGACTTTTGAATTGAGCTGCTGTGTTTGAATGATGTCAGAGGCCAGTACATGACCTGCTGTTCTCCACCTCTGTCTACACTGAGGTTCTAGATCTCTGAGTGGCCTCTGTAATCTGTCTGACTCATTTTCTAATAATATAGAGAAAGTAGATGATCTGTCTTCCAGTACCTTTATCTCAGTTCTAGCTTCTTTGGGAGCCCTTTGACCTCTCTTTGGGTGGCTGTTTAAGGGATAACACCAAACAGAAAAAGATCACTTTGTGTATTTCTCTTAGTTTTCCTGTTTCCAAGATTTGCCTTCTCTAGAAGATGTGAGAGTAGAAGGAACATGGGCTTTGCTGTTGGACATATACTGTCCTCTTGGGCATGTTATTTAACTTCTCTGGCCCCGTTTTCTCTGCTGTAAATTTGAGATATATAGTAGGCACTTAGTGGTCTGGTGCCTACGATGCATTAAGAAAAGTAGCTCTCTCAAACAGCCATTGCTCTACTCCACTGTCTTCATTCTTCAGTTCGGAGCACCGCCTTCACTGCTCTGTGACTTCAGGAAACTTGGAGTTCCTCGGCTATTTTGCTCTGGAGGTGGACAAAACTTATTCCACTTTAGCTCATCAGCAGAAGGCTGGGATTTTTCAAAGGGAACCTTTCTAAGCAAGTGAAAGCAAAATATAAGAGCAGTACATAAATTACGGGAGCAAGAATTTATACAGCACATCATACTTAATCATAAGGTAGCTAAAGCTTGGCCTCAGATGATCTTAGCTGGTATGACCTTCTGATCTCACAGGCCTTAGTTTATTCTCTTTAGCCTTGCCTTTTACTTTTTGCCTGAAGCATAGCTGGTTGTTTGGGCTGGTTCCTTCTTTATGAATTCAACATCTTCCTCGATTGTTTAGGCTGGTATGCAGTCTGATATATCTAGTACAGTGGTTCTCAACCTAGGCTGCTTGTTAAGAGTTACCTGGAGAGTCTAATTAAAAATGTAGATTCTGAGGACCTGTCTCTGGAAATTCTGCTTTACAAGGTCAGGGTAGGACTCAAAGAACTTATTTTTTATTTAGGTGCCACCCATCATTCTGTGCTGGCTGTCATATTGTCTCCATCCGTTGTCATCATTATCCTGGAAACTTCTTAGCAGAGAACTCCATTCGTATTCTTATGTTTTGAAAGTTTCCACCTTCTCATACAAATTCTTCTCCCTATACCTTCCCCTTAAATCTCTTATTTTGTATTTTCAGGCCAAAGGCCACCTTTAAAAAACTCTTTATTTTTAAACTATTCAAACATAGAAAAGTTGCAGAATAGTACAATGAACAATCATATACCTTCACTTAGATTCATCAGTTGTTAACATTTTGTCACATTTGTTCACATGCTCAAGAGTGCTCTCTTCTCTACACACGTACTTACACACACACACACACACACCCCTATCTCTTGTCTCCTGTCCATTTGCAGAGCAGAAATGATTGACACGCCTTGAGTTCACTGAATAATCAAGTTCTTCCGTCCTTGCTTGACTTGTCCCAGGTATTCCCACTCTCCCAGGTATTCTGTATCTCATCCTATTTAGGCTCCAGCGTCACCCTCACAAGCGGCTAACAATACAAATGTACTTTTTACATGTTTACAGAAAGAAAATCATTTTGCCACACTCTGTGTTCTGCATTTAGGCAACTCTAAAGTTACTGGGCCCTCTTCTCAAACCCTTTAGTGACCTCCCCCACCTCCCTTGCACCGCCTTGAGGTCTCAGGTACCTTTTACTCTAGTCTGTATCTCATGTGTTCTGTCCGTACTGAGATCACTGCACCTATTCTACCATTTCCGTGTGAGTTTTTCACTGGCCATACCTCCCTCTGCTTCCTGTGTGACCTATTATGGACTTCTCTTAGCCACTCTGTTGACATGTCCTCTGCCCACGCTGACCTCTAGCCCCAGGATGCTATGGCAGCCTCTTGAGCCAGTATGGTATACATTCTTCTGCTCTATTAAGATCAGCACAACTTCAGAAAACATAGCCTTTCTGACAGTAGCTCTAGAGCTACCATTTGTGTCAGCTCTGCTGGTTTGCTTCAGATGCTGACCTGGTCTGAACTGGTGCTCAGCTCTTTACTTCTGACAGATTGGTTTTGCTCTGCTGACCAGTCAAATAGGTTCCTGCCTGGTCACCCCACTCGATTTCTTTGTTGATTGTTCCTAGGGTGTGGGAACATTTCAGTTCAGTTGGGGAATCTTAGGACATCATTCGATGTGAAATCTGGCGTCTGTGAAGGGTTGTGGAAATATTCTTGGCTAGCAGCTGTGAAATGGAGGACAGACCACCTATGAGGCTTTGGGGATTTCACAGACCTTCTCTATAGGCTTTGCAGAGGACCCACACTTCTCTGTAGGGGGCCCGGGGGGGGGGTCCATCTTTTTCCTTTATGCATAGAACATTGACATTATCTTGTTAGAAGCATTCTCAGAAAGCCAGACAAGTGTTTCCTAAGCAATGTGTTCAGAAAGCCAGACAAGTGTTTCCTAAGCAATGTGTTCATGCTTCTTCGTCTCTAGGGATGGCCCATTACAGCCATGTAGCAGTTCCAGTGGGCCAGCCACGTGGGAGAGGCATGGGGTAGAGAGGTCCTTGGGTCTTTTCTCACTTTCAGTTTGTGAGGGAAGAGGGGACAGCAATTGTTTATCTAGAGAACCTGCTTCTAGTCAGGTACAGAAAAGTTTGGATCTTCCTCTAAACAGAGGACAGTATTCAATGATGATTGAGCTCAGGCTCTAAAATAAAATGGGCCTGACTTTGAACCTTGATTCTGTCATTTCCTAGTTGTCAAATGGTGATAAAATTACTAGCTATATATACAGAAGTTTCATAATTTCTCTGTGCCTCAGTTTCCTCAACTGAAAGTGGAATTAATAGTAACACTTTATGGGATAGTTGAATAGTAAATCAGCTGATACATGCCAAGCACTTAAAACAGTGCCTGATACATAAGTATTCAGTAAGTGTTAGTTGTTATTTGAGTCGTGAGGATTAGATGAAATAATCTATTTGAAGTATTTATCACTAGGCCTATATAACCCCAATAATATTAACTTTAAAAAAAGGCATTCCCACAAAACTCTTGAGTCGGTGGCCTCCTGGCTTCTAGTGTAACACAGATGGAATATTTTTTTCAGAGGAAGGACAAGACCAGGCAGAGGATATCTGTGTCTGGGAAATGAGGGAGGTAGTCCCCAGCTAGGGGTAGGGATGCCTGCCTGCATAATGGCAGAGGCTGACAAAGATGCCCACCCTCTGCTTACTGACATTGACCTGAGTTGGTGCTGATACTAGTTCCTCCTCTTTGTAGGTTTCACAAGCTGATCTGGGGGAACTTTGGCAGTGGGCTTCTGGAAGGCTCCGGGGTTATTGCAGGCGGCGGGGACAATGGCATGCTTACTTTATACAATGTGACCCACATCCTGTCTTCGGGAAAGGATCCTGTGATTGCCCAGAGGCAGAAGCACACAGGGGCTGTCAGAGCCCTCGACTTTAATCCTTTCCAGGTACTACATTTCAGTTGGTCAGACATAGCCAAGCCATAGAGCAGGAGATCTGAATGGAAGCATTCACTCATGACCTCCAGTCTATAACTCTGAGTCCTTCCCAGGCTGTTACAGGATGGGCTTTGGCAGCCCTATATATGGGTCTCTTTCCCCCTCTCCTGCTCTCATATTTTCCTGGGTTGGTGTGTTCTTCATACAGGGCAACCTCCTGGCCTCAGGAGCCAATGATTCTGAAATCTTCATTTGGGATTTGAATAACCTGAGTGTACCAATGACCCTAGGATACAAGTCACAGGTAAGGAGGCTCCCGGGGCTGCTGCTTAGAGTGTCCAGCTGATTTTCCCAGGGAAAGTCTTGAATTCCAGAGGCTGCCAGAGCGTAGGAGATTTCAGCCTTTACCACTGGAGGGCAATAAAGCTCCACAGACTAATAAGCTACTAGCCAGATGATATCAGGAGTGGAGAGGAGGGGGGGGTGTGTGGCGGTGAGGCGGTTTGTGGTCATTAACTATCCTAGAGATTTCTGGAAGAAAAATGAAAGGAGAGAGAGGCAGTAAAAGACATCGAGAGAAGGAATGAGGGTACAGTTTATTATCAGTAGGGTTCGGTAGGGCTCTGGGCTCAGTGGAAAGGGAGCAAGATACGACTTCCAGATCTACTCTGTCCTTTTTGTGGGTAGGATCAGCCTTGTCTCTGTCTGGTTCTCCCATGCAGTCGGTGGTCTTGTGTCTCTCTGTCTCTGAGCATACCTGTCAGTCTATAACTGGGCCTATCTTTTTATTTCCTGACTTTCTCTGTCTTATGCTTATATTATCGTGCAGTAAGTTAAGCATGAATTTGATAGCACCTTGTTCCCTGAAAGTAGCAATGGCCTGTCTTTCTGCTTCACTCTCTCTGGGGATCTTGGGTGTCTTTGTATCCCTCCCTCCCTCACCTTCCTTTTTTCCTCTCTCTTTGTCATAGATATAAGGGCTGTTTTTAAATCTTGACTCTATCCTCTCAGGAGCACCTTGGGATAGGAGTAAAACCCAAGTGTGCCTGCCATTGTCAGCTTCTACACCAGTTCCCTAAAGGATCCTCTCTGGAAAATTCAACTGAGACTCTTGGTTTGGGTTGCCCCATCCATGTCTACTCTTGGGCTTTCTGTGGGTGGTTGTGAGCAGTGGAACGGCAGATGTCTCTTGGATAAGGAGGTGACAGGTTGTCCTCCACTCTCTCCCCCCATCCTTCCTCAGCAGCCTCCAGAAGACATCAAGGCACTCTCTTGGAACCGGCAAGTTCAACACATTCTGTCTTCTGCTCATCCCAGTGGTAAGGCAGTTGTGTGGGATCTCAGGAAGAATGAACCCATCATCAAAGTCAGTGATCACAGCAACAGGGTGAGTCATGGAGGCAGAATACAGGTCTGGGCCCTGGCTTCTCTCTCATTCTAGTCCTTGTAGCTGCTCTTGCCCAGGCCAGGGTTCTGCTTTCAGCTGTTGGACATGTGGGTTCTGCAGATTTCCTATGAGAGTGAAAGCTTAGGTGAGCTAAACAGAGCTGACCTGAAGACCTCTAATGCTCCTTATTTATTCATGGCTGTGATATTCCCAGTCACCCAGAAGAGACACAAAACCTGCCCTCAGAGTAGTCTCATTCCAAGTGGACATAAAAGGTTTATAACTAGAAGAGGCAGGTTACATCACCCATTGGGGTCTGCTTTGTTCACAGATGCAATGCTCAGGACTGGCCTGGCACCCTGACATAGCCACTCAGTTGGTGCTATGCTCAGAAGATGATCGTCTCCCAGTGATTCAGCTGTGGGACTTGCGCTTTGCCTCCTCGCCCCTGAAGGTGCTAGAGAGTCACAGCAGGTAGCATTTCAAACCCCATCTACATCCTTGGTGGAGAGTGGGAACATGACTGACCTGCGTAGGAGACAATGAATGCCTCACTTTAGCTACCAAACATCCTTCCTGGCTTCAAAGCCATCCCAATGAACATGCAGTCACCCAGTCCTAGTCCCAATCAAGAGAAGTTTCTTTAGACTCAGAAGTTATGGCGAAGAGCCTAAGATTCCATCTAACTTCCAGAGGTGGGAGTGGGGATGGGGTCATGAGAAGTTTGGAGCCAGTGTTTAGTCCCCCTGGGAGAGTCCTCAGGCTCTGATCTGAGGATAATGCTCATTTCTTTGGGTGATGAGGTTGCCTCCTCCAAGACTTCTTTAAAAAAGGACCTTGGCTCCTGTCTATCTTGCACACAGGCCTGCCTCTGAAGCTGTAGCTCTTGGGCTCATAACAGAAAAAGCAGCCTGAGTCTGTTCTTTCCAACTAAAAGGCCATATTGCTTTTATACCTCTTTGAGGACTTTTGAGAGTTAGTTCCTCACTACCCTCCTGGGCTAAAAGCACCTACTGTGATGGATGCTTTCCTGATTCATGCTGATTCATAGTCCCTACTCTACAATCAGGACAAAGAAGCAGGCCATCCTGCAGTGACCTATGGGCTGCAGAGTGGTACAGTGCGTAGAGCACAGGCTCTGGGATTTGACTTGGGTTCTGGCTGCTTGACCACTGAAAGTTCCTTAATTTTCTATAGCCTCATTTTCCTCATTTGTAAAATGAAATCAGGCTGTTCATTTTATAGGGATGAGATTTATTTGAGATATATAAGGTACCCTACTCATAGTAGGCCTTCAGTAAATGCTGGTTTCTCTTTCCTTTTCAGGGGGATCTTGTCGGTGTCGTGGAGCCAGGCTGATGCTGAGCTGCTGCTCAGTAGTGCCAAAGACAACCAGGTCTTGTGTTGGGACCTGGCGAGCAGTGAGGTAGGCTGGCCCTTCTGTGAGCATGCTGGGATGGGAGATGAGAGGGTAGGGGAATCCAGCTTCAACTGTGTGTTCTGGGCCGCCTTACCTATGACAGAGGTTCCCTAATGGTGTGTTCCCTCATATTAGGTGGTATATAAGCTACCCACACAGAGCAGCTGGTGCTTTGATGTGCAGTGGTGTCCTCGGGACCCTCCAGTGTTCTCTGCTGCCTCCTTTGATGGCTGGATCAGTTTGTACTCTGTGATGGGTAGGAGCTGCGAAGTTCAGCAGATGAGACAAGTTGACAAGGTTTGAAGGGCTTGGTGGAGAATGCTGGAGGGAAGGGATTGTCTCAATTTACAGAGAGAGAGGACATATGGGCTGGGAAGAGGTGAGGACTCTTGAAGAGTGGGAAGCCAGGGCCCTGGGTTTGGGAGGGCTGCACCTTTGCTCCAGTGCCCACCTTCCTGGGAGGATGTAAGTTCCTGCCACAATGCAAAGGAGGCCTTTACCTTGATTTTTGTTCTTGGATATTCTTTGTGGTATTTCAGGGACATTGGACCTCCATGCTGGGACCATTATTTTGGAAGTATGAACTGTCTTACTTCCCTCTTTCCTATTGATCCATTTTGTTTCACACTCCACTGTAGACCTTTTTGGAAGCCTACTGCATGGGAATCCCACCCTCGCTATTATTCTCCTGGAATATGGGAGTCCAGCCTTTGTGGGCCAGATTGGGTATCTCAGGGATTCCTCCCAAAATAGAATTTGTAGGTAGAGTTCCTGGCTAAGCCACCACGTCAGGCCAATGATACAGGTGTCCTTTTGCTCCCAGATCTCTTCTTCCTTCAGCCAAGGCCAGCCTCTCCCACCATTGCAGGTGCCAGAACAAGCAGCCCAAGCATCATTGATACCTCCCCTGAAAAAAACCCCCAAATGGATGAGAAGGCCAGCAGGTGTTTCATTTGCTGTAAGTGTAGTGTGTGTATGTGTATGGTTGTGTGTGTGTGTGTGTGTGTGTGTGCGTGTGCGCGTACGTGCATGTTTGTGAAGCCTGCCATGTGCCCAACATGGAGCTGTGTTCTGTAAGAGGTTTGTTCCCGCTCTCTGTGCCTCAGATCAGGTCCCAATAAGGCCAGCCTCTCCCACCATTGCACAGGTGCGAACAAGCAGCCCAAGCATCATTGATACCTCCCCTGAAAAAAACCCCCAAATGGATGAGAAGGCCAGCAGGTGTTTCATTTGCTGTAAGTGTAGTGTGTGTATGTGTATGGTTGTGTGTGTGTGTGTGTGTGTGTGTGTGTGTGTGTGCGTGTGCGCGTACGTGCATGTTTGTGAAGCCTGCCATGTGCCCAACATGGAGCTGTGTTCTGTAAGAGGTTTGTTCCCGCTCTCTGTGCCTCAGATCAGGTCCCACTTCACTGCTCAAGTAGAGAGTTACTATAGCTTCCCTCTCTACCCTTTCACCTGCTCACTGTGCCAATCCTGTCTAAAAGGAATTGATTGCTTTAGACCTCCTGGTTATGGAAAACCGCCTGAAATTCCACTGTATTTCTCACTAACCCTTTTGTGTCTGGACTGGTAGTTAGTCCAGCTATGTAAGGGTTGGAGTACAAAGAAAGAAAGAAAGAAAAAATGGTTTTATCTTGTTATTCCTCTGCTCAAAACCTTTGATCCTCATTGCCTTATTAGGCTCAAGGCCAAAGGTACACAGAGCTCCACTTACCTTCCTAGTTTTTCTTCCCACTTTATTCTCATGTGTTCTCTGTGCTCCAGTTAAATATGACTCATTTCTGTTCCATGAATAACTCCCCAACTCTGCTGCCTCCACCTGTATCCCAGTCTTTAGCTTCTCTCCCAGGACATTGAATCCTGCTGCAGCCTTCCAAGGTCCCTCATTTAAATACCACCCCCTTCATGAGGCCCATCTTTAAGTCTCGTGAAGCTTAACCTCACTTCTGTAATTTCAGATTTATACCCTGTCATGATACATTCTAACTGTACTGAAGTTATTTATATACATGTCTGGAGGCCCTACTAAGTAATAGACTCCTTTAGGACCACATCTTGTTCATTTTTATCCCTAAAGAAGTGCTTCTCAGACTTTAATGTGCATACAAATCACCTGAGAATTTTATTAAAATTGAGATTTGGCTTCATTCAGTCTGGGGTAGGGCCCAAAATTCTGATTTTTCAACAAGCTGCCAGGCAGTGCCCTGGCTGCTTTTTGAGGAGTAGCAAGGCCCTAAAGCACCTGGCTCAATGCTTTAAATATTAGATTTGAATTAAAAACAGATGAATAAAAGTAGAGGTTCTTGTTTTCAGAACCAACAGTTCTGTTAAGGAGGTAAGACCAATATATTCAAGAGGAGTGAAGTAAAGAATTCTGAGGTCAGGAGGCTTGAATTCTTATCATTGCTCTGTCACTTAGTGGTTGGGCAAATCACTCAGGACTTCAGTGTTCCTATCTGTGAAACACAATGGTAGTACCTGCCCAGCTTTTCTTAGTAAAGTGACATGAACCTCTGATAAGAATATATGTAAACACTTTGTCAAACTATCAAGTACTATTAGCAATTCAAAGATAAGCTGGTTTTGTTGAGCACTAATTGGTAGTGTAGATTTTGTGCTGTGGGGTCAAGAGAAGAATTCTGCCTGGGAAAGTTTATTAAAGAGGTGGGTGTTAGGAAGAGAAATAGTGAATAGCTGGGGAGTAAAGCAGGAGTTGTCAACCTTGGCTGCAATTGGAATAACCTGAAGAACTTTAAAAATTCTGATGCCTGGTCCCACTCCCAGAGACTCTGATTTTATTGTCTGGGGTACAGCCCAGCAACTCTGGACAACTCTTCGGGTAGTTTTAATGTGCAGCCAAGGTGGAAAACTGCTGGAGTAGGGAACCTTTACTAAGCTCTGCCTTTGTGCCAGGTGCTTTATATAAACTGAATGAACTAGGCCCCGGGTGGGGGTGAGGGTGTGAAGCTATCACATAAATGAGCAGGGAGAGAGGTGCTGGAGTGGCAGGTCTGGCCCCAATTTTGGAGGATTTGGGGCACAATAGGCAGAAGAGCTTTAGCTCTCTCCTGTGCCCTTGTGAAACCATTCCAAGATCCTGAGTAGCAACAGGTACAGGGTGGTAGTCTACTGCTTGGATTGGAGGAGGAAAAAACCTAGAGGCTAGCCACCTATTCCAGCAATCTAGGTGTGCTAGCACTGGGAATGGAACAGAGGACCCCGCATGAGAGACATTGAACAAGAAGAGGTAAGATTTTGTTTTTGCTTGGCTGTAGTGGGTATAAAGACTGTGATAATGTCAAGGTGTTTGGTCCAGGTAACTGGGAGAAGGGTGGTACCGGGACAGATGAGAAAATGAAGACCATGTGCCGAAGTTCTAAGCTGATGGTGCTAAAAATGCAGAGATGGTTTTGGTATAGGAAACACATTTGCTACTCAATTTCTGATCTTATTCTACCCTCGGGAGTTCTCTTATTATTGATCTCCTAAAGTTAACCAATATATAGCCTTTCCTGCCATCCTGACGCGGTGTGAATTTTTAGCTCGAAGGCATGACCTTTATTCTTTTTGTTTTTCCTCACCAGTTTGGAGGGAAGCTGGTTACTTTTGTCCTTCCCAGTACCCCTGCCCATCAGGAAACACAGCCTTGCCTCCGCCTAGTCTTCATCAGTCAAGTCATCACAGAATCCAAATTCCTGATGCAGTCAGCTGAGCTGCAAGAGGCCCTGAGATCAGGGAATCTCCTGAATTATTGTCAGAACAAGATCCAGTGTGCGTCACTGCAAAGTGAAAAGATGCTCTGGCAGTTCCTGAAGGTAGGAAGCCTGAAGGCTTGCAGCTCAGAAATGTTTCCCCAAAGCCAGGTACTCCAACCTCTGTCATCTCCAGGAGATGTGCAACCACACTGTGACTCAGATTTCAGAGGTTCTAGCCCATGTTAGATTTTTCCTACACATCACCCACCCTCTGGACACAAAATCTTCATCAGAGGCCCTTTGAAGCTAAAGAAGCTGAGTACAAGTGACATTTACCTTTTTTTCTACTATTGCTGATGTTCCGGGTACTTTACCAGAGCCAAGGTGAAGCCTTTCACAGTGCCATGCAGAAGGGCAGATAAGGTGATGGGAAGGGAAAAGAGGAATGGAAAGGAAGGGAAGAAGATTAGCTGGAAGAGTATATCACCATGAGAAGGCTTTGTGTTTGTTTAAAGTAACCCAAAGTAAGTCATTGTGGTAGGACTCAGGGCTCAAGTCCCACTCTACTCTGGACCTCAGTTATAGTGCTAATTTAATTTCAAGTTGCTTATGATCCCAGGAGTACTATAGCTGTCAAAGGAAACGAGTAAATGAGAGGAGAGGGCTGAAGGAAGAAAGAGAAACAACTGACTGAACAGACAGTGAGAGGGTCATTCATATCTTTGGGATCGTAGAGAAGAATGCAAAAAGAAGGACAGGACCTTGTCCCAGGGAGTCTGATAAGGACTTGAGGTCTGTGCTTCAGACATGGTAGAACTTTCTGAAGGTCGACACCAGGAATCTGGGAAGAAGAAAAAGATTTGAGAAAGATCATCAACTATAGAGTGAAGATAAAAAAGATGTAGGAAGAAAAGAGTAAGAAATGATGCTTTTCTTATAAGTAGGATACAGGTAATAGCTCCTGTAGCTATTCCTATAGCACAAGAATGGTGGGAATAGAATGGAGTGATCAGGAGTTCAGCCTTTACTCACATGGTGGTGCCCATAGGACAGTTGAAAAGCTACCCGTGAGCTGTACATCATGATGGTCCTGAAGCTGAGTGTGGAGGAACATTTCCAAGGGAAGAGCATGGAAGAAGGAGGGGACCCTGAGAGACTATAAGAAAGAAGGTAGTCAGAATTTGTGGTTCAGTGTAGGATAAATGAATGGCCTAGACCAGCAGACCCGAGTTAGGGTAGGGCTTCAGGAAGGCTTGGCCTCTCAGTCCTTGGGTCACAAGTGAGTAAGCTGACTGTGTTTACTGTATCTGTGCACCTTCCACCAGGCATCTTTTCAACTAGATACTTAGACTCAGAAGACCACCGTAGTCTCACTTAGCGTCAGTCTCCTCAGAAGGAAGTGCGACGGGAAGCACAACCTGTCAGCAGGGCAGCGTCAGGTGTCCCCCTTCTCTGGCAGTCCTTGCAGCAGTGCAGAGTTCTCTTCTTCAGATCCCAGAAGACAGCTCAGGTGCAAGGAGATGAGATGTACATCAGGCAGGTGTGTAAGTTGCCCTGACTTAGAAGCCTCATGCCCATAAGAGCCAATGTCTAGACCCCTGCCAGGGATCTGTTCATTTGCAAGAGTCCTTGCAATCATGGAAGCCCAGAGCATGGTGTCCACATCAGTTATTTACAGTTCACATCATTCCATTCCAAATACAATTTACCAATCACAAGCAATGTTGTCTAGAAACATAAGTGACATTTTACCCTTATCAGGTTACCAGGATAACAGATCTAGGAAGTCAACGGAAGGTCCAATTCTCATGTAGAACGGGGAATAGGTTTTGTTAACACTATGCCCACAGCCCAGGAGGAATCAAATCTGGGGAGAAAAAAGGTAGAAATGGTGTTGGCTTTAGTATGGTACTTCTGGCAGTACAAAGAGCTATATATGAGGGTATACTGGCATAGATGTCCAGCTTGTGCAGGAGGGGGTCATTCACATTCATTTAATGGAGACTTCTGTGTTTTGTGGTTCCTTAGGTGACCTTAGAACAAGACTCCAGGACGAAATTCCTAAAGCTATTAGGATACAATAAAGATGAGCTTCAGAAGAAGGTAAGCTACTTTCACATCAGAAATATGTACTTGATGGAGAGAAGAGAATCCTGTCAATGGAAACCATCTCAGAATACCTCTTCTTGGGCTTGACTAATGCACATATGAACATTTGAACTCCTGGAGTTGGGCTTTTTCGCAGGAAAATAGTCTAGTTTGGTGGGGTTTGGAGGTGGGAAGAAAGCATAATCCTTGTTGGACCTTGTGCGGGGCAGAGTGGTACTCATAGGTCTGTCCCGATAGGTGGCCACGTGGTTGAAGAGTGACTTGGAGCTAGGTGAGAGTCCTCAGCCCAAGGGAGATGACCTCAACAGTAACAGACAACAGGCCTTCTGCAGCCAGGTGTGGTAGGAGCCCAGCCAGCCCAACCTTTGGTAGCACAGGAGACCTGCCTTTAAGGGATCTTCCTTTTTGGCCCTTTGCTTTGCTTTCATGAAATGCTCAGCTTCAGTAGAAGTCATTAGACTCCTCCCTCTTTTAGAACCACTGTGGACACAGAGTCCATATGCTTTTGGGCTGGGAGTAGAGCTGTGTTTTAACCATGAACTAGAGCCCTTCCCAAACCTTTCCTGGTTATTATTTTAGCTTCACCCATTAAGGGCCAAAATAGTAGAGCTCCAAGAGAGAACTACTAAGTCAGTTCTTTGTCTTTGGGCTTCATTTTCTAAGTAGCCACCTCTGTCCTTCCTTGTACAGGCTTCCAAATATATCACAGAGGAAGCTTCTGCTTCCTCAACCTTCTTTGATGAGCTGGTCCCTCAGGACATGACTCCATGGGAGATCCCCATCACAGAAGGTACCCTGACCCTGAGGGAGAGAAATCCTCTGGAAGTAGGTGGGCTCACAGTTTTCAGATTCGACGTCATTTCCTTCTTGCGCCTTGCCTCCCACCTCCCTCCCACCATCATAAATGCTGGGTAGTTCTGTTATGGGTTAGAGCTCTCTCTGGCTGTAAATTTTCTTAGATGAGTCTTTGCTATTTTGGCCTTCAACCAAGATATTTTTTTCTATCCTTCTGTCTTCTTGCTTAAGGGACTGTGACCTTGTTCTTGCTGAGCAATCACATGTCACACCTGTGATACTGCCATACGAGTCTCTGCTTCATCTTGAGTCCTCTCCTTAGAGAGTTGCCACTAGACCCGGGCACCCCAAGATACCCCCACTATATTTTGTTGTTGAGAAATGAACTTGGGAGTTTTGTTCAGGGGCAATGGAGGCTGAGTGATAAAGAGATATAAGAGGTGTGCTGTGTGGGCCCTGCAGGGGACAGGAAGTTAGGGTCTGAGGGCAGGCTAACATGGAGGTGATGCCTCTGCCCACAGACATGGATGGACTCCTGAGCCAGGCTCTCCTGCTTGGCGAACTGGGCCCTGCTGTGGAGCTGTGTCTGAAGGAAGAGCGCTTTGCTGATGCTATCATCCTGGCCCATGCAGGGGGCGCAGACCTGCTGAAGCAAACACAAGAGTGCTACTTGGCCAAGAAGAAAACCAGAATCTCCTCGGTAATTGCCCACCATGCAGGACAGGAGAAGAGGGGATTACTTGGACCTTGTCAGGTGGATGCCTGCAACTTGGCACTGGTGTTTAGAGGATCTGCCAGTCTCTCCCTTCTCACTCTAACCATCCCGACCTCACCCCGAGCCCCTAGTCAATGGTCTGATGGGAAGCCTGCTCATGAGTGGCTTTTCTAGCACATTCCTGAGTGAGACTCCTGCTGTCTGTGCTGGATGGGTGGTTGATGGCCTCCTTCCCTTTCTGCCCATTACAGCTGCTAGCCTGTGTTGTGCGGAAGAATTGGAAGGATATGGTGTGTGCCTGTAGTCTGCAGAACTGGAGAGAGGCACTGGCCTTGCTCCTGACATACTCAGGGCCAGAGAAATTCCCTGAGCTCTGTGGTAGGTGGCCCTAGGCGTCAGGATGGAGTGGTGTGACTCCAGTGGACACACTGAGGGAGGAGGCAGAAGAGCAGCCCGAGCTCTGGGAGGTCAGGCCATGTTGTCAGGGCCAAGGTCTGGTTCAGCTGGGAAGCAAGCACTACAGTGCATGCCCCTACTTTCATTCGTTGACCTGTTTTACTTTTCCTTGTCACATCTTGAAGCAAGAGCTTTCCCCTTCACTGTAGAGCAGGATTAGCCTGTGTTGTCCAAAGCCACTGTGGCTACTTGTCCCATAGCTCATGGTCCTCCACCTATTTCCAAACAGGAAAAGGAGGAGGAGCAAAGGGAAACTGCCATTAAAGAAATTTCTGTCTCTCTGCAGACATGCTGGGTGCTCGCATGGAGCAGGAGGGCGGCGGGGCACTCACCTCTGAAGCCAGACTCTGTTATGTGTGCTCAAGGAGTGTGGAGCGGCTGGTGGAGTGCTGGGCAAAATGCCACCAGGCTTCATCTCCCATGGCTCTCCAGGTACTCCTCTGCAGGGCACTGGTCTCTCTATACCGGGGCCTTAGGAGAGGCTGGTGGCAGGGTTGTGCAGGGACATCAGAGGCAAGTCTTCTGGGTACCCAGGCCAGAGTCAGGATATGAGGGAGGAGAGAAGGGCCCTAATGTTTGGGACCTTCTCCCAAGGATGAGTCAGGGGACACTGAGCAGCAGCTGCTTAAGTATTAACCTTCATAGTGTTTTCCCACTTCAGATTTGGTTATACGCATTTATTTTATATTTGACTAATTGTGAGCCTGGGCCTTTGATTAGCTGCTATGAAAAGCTCTGTGGATCTAAATTGTACCAGACACTCTGCAGGTGACCAGAGAAGGTGAGAGTCACAGACTCATCAGGAGACAAAGTCACACAAAGTATAATTGAGTCCGAAATTGCTGATGTACTAGCAGAAAGGGTAAAGAAAGCAAAAAAGAGGCAGAGATATAGAAGAATCTAAGACCCATATGGCACCAGTGGAGCCCAATGCTAACAGCTCGGGAGGTGAGGCCAAGTGACCCTTTAACTGTCATGTCTCATATATCATCTCCTGCTATCTTCACCTGTCTATAGCCAGGTACCCTCTTACCCATAGTAGGAAGTCCCTGGGTGAGCTGCCTGGGCTTAAAGAGCAGAATATACTTTGAAGAGGGTTGCCTGCCTCCATCCTTGTTCCTCTAGGACTTGATGGAGAAGGTGATGGTCCTCAATAGGAGCTTGGAGCTACTGCGGGGTCCTGATGGCGTGAGCCCAGGCCCTGCCACAACCTACAGAGTCACTCAGTATGCCAACCTCCTGGCAGCCCAGGGCAGCCTGGCCACTGCCATGAGCTACCTACCCAGTGACTGTGCTCAGGTAAGTGGAGCCATGTGGAGAGAGCAAACCATTTCATTAGATCATCTAACACTGGCTGATTGCTCGCATGTTCCAGGCACTATGTCAAATGCTGAAGCTCCCAGGGTAAATAAGATCTAGTCCCTCAGGAAGCTCACAATCTTTTGGGGAGAAATCAGATAACTTATAGTGCCATAACAGAAGCTTATACTGAGCACTGTGGGACTCCAGGGAAAGAACTGGTTTTGCCTGCAGAGGTCAAGGAAGGCTTCTAAGTGGTTAAAATTATTGAGCTGATCTCCAAAAAGAAGTAGCTTATCAGCAGATGTAGGGCAATCTAGGCAGAAAGAACAGCAATGAGGGAAGCTTGGCAGAGATTAGCGATCTTTGAGTTATCTAAGGTGGCTAGAGTGTAGAGAGTCATCTGAAGTTTGAATGCTATATGGAGCTAGGCTCGTAAGAGAGGATGTTTGCTTGTTTTAATTTTAACATGGCTCTTCATTATTATAACTTTTATAGCCACCAGTTCAGCAGCTGAGAGATAGGCTTTTTCATGCCCAGGGCGCTGGTGTCTTGGGCCAACAGTCTCCTCCTTTCCCCTTTCCTCGAGTCCTTGTGGGAGCTACCCCCCACTCTAAAGAGACATCATCTTTCAGATTGGGATTCCAGCCTTCTCAGCAGGTAAGACCTTGTTTGTTTATTGATTTGTTCATTCTCTCAAAATACTCATCAAGTGTCTGTCAAGTGCCAGGCATGGTTCTAGGCACTTGGAATATATTAGTGAACAAAAATGATGAAAATTCCTAACTTCATAAAGCATAGATTCAGTTATTTTTCCAGTAACTGTTTATTGAACAACTACTCGACTCTTAGAACAGAAAAATTCACAGACCATGATCCTTGCCCTTAATTAGCTCATAGTCTTGTAGAAAGATAGATGTGTAAAAAATAACAACAATAAAATTCATAAATGCCACGATTGAAGTACGATAAGGTCTACAGAATTACATAAAAGAAAACAATTTACTCTGGGGAGTGGGGAAGTTTAGGTAATATTTTGGAATGAATATGTTTGATCTGTCTTGAAGAGTAAAAATTATTTAGACAAAAGAATGGGTAGACGAACGCTATTTCAAGCAGTGGGAACAGCATGTAAAAAAGCATTGAAGGGAGAGTGAGCAAAGCCCATTTGAAGAACTACTAACATTTTAATGGGGCTGCAAAACAGGTATTTGTGGTAGTGGAATGGGCTTAGATGAAGCTGGAGTAACAAGAAGAACCTGGCATTCTGAGCTAAAGAGCTTATACTTGATATACTTGATAGCAGTCAGGAGCCATTAAATGGTCTTATGCAGGGGAATGACTAGCTATGTGTTTAGGAAGGACAAGGTTGGAGACAGTTAGGAGGCTATAGTGAGAGATGATGAGGACATGAAATAACCTAAAGCTGGAGAGTGGGGTTGGATTTGAGGTATTTAGTAGGTAGAATTGACAGAAATCGATGATGGTTTAGAGGAATGTGTGAGTAAGGAAACTGGTCCCTAGGTTCCTGGCCACAGTGCTTGGGTGGTAGAGTGCTGTTGTTGTTAACTTATGATACCAGGAGGGGCTGGGGAACAAAATCAGTGAGATTGTAAATGGAGGCATCAAGCAGGAGTTCTGATGATTGATTCATCCTGTGCCACCTTCAATTCCAACCCTAAGTTTCTTTCTTCTCTCCCTTCTCCTTTCCTTCTCTGTCTTTTCTATTTTGAAATAATTAGAGTCATAAGAAGTCACAAAGGAATGTACTGGGAAGTCTCATGAATCTCAACCCCACCCCACCCCATGCCAACATCCCACACAACCACAGTGCAATATCAAACCCAAGAAATTGACATTAGTACAATCCAGAGTCAGATTTCATATTTCACCAGTTTTACATATACTGTGTCTGTGTGTTTGTGTGTGTGTGTGTGTGTAACTATGTAAGAATTTGTCTTTTCATCTTTTTAACAGGGTCCTTCACAACGCAAAATTTTTTGACTTATAGGGTCCAATTTATAGTTTTTCTCTGTGAATCTTGCTTTTTGTGTCAAATTTAAGAACTCTTTGCCTAGTCCAAGGTCCCTCAAAAATTCTCCTCAGTTCTTTCTAGAAGTTTTATAATTTTTTGTTTTACATTTAAGTTCATGTTCCACGTCGAGTTAATTTTTGTATAAGGTATGAAGTTTAGGTCAAGCTTCATTTTTTTACCAATGGATGTCCCGAATCATTTATTGAAAAGGCTGTCCCACTTCCATTGAATTTATTTTGCTCCTTTGTAAAAAATTAATTGGGCATATTTGTATGGATTTATTTCTCAGTTCTTGATTCTGTTCCTTTGACCTATGTGTCTGTCCCTCTGCCAGTACCCCTCTGTCTTGATTACTACCTTATATAATGTCTTGACGTGAGGAAAAGTAATCCCTCCACTTTATTTTTCTTTTTCAAAATTACTTTGGGTGTTCTAGGACCTTGCCCTTTCCGCATAAATTTTAGAATAACATTGTCTATGTTTACAAAGAAACTTGCTAAAATTTTGACAGGAATTTCATTAAAACTAGAGAATAACGTAAGGAGAATTGTTGAGTCTTCTCATCCATGAACATGGTATATCTCTTCAATGCTGTCTCCAGCATTTTATAATTTTCGTCATACAGATCCTGATATGTTTTGTTCAATTAAACCTAAGTATTTAATTTTCACCTGAGCAATTAAAATCTAATGGTTTTTTGTTTGTTTGTTTTGTTTTTTTTTGTGGATTCCTTGGGATCTTCAATGTAGACAGCCATATTGTCTGCAAATAAAGACAGCTTTATTCCTCTCAATCCCTCAATCTGTGTGCCTTTAATTTCTTTCTCTTGCCTAATTGTAGTTCTAAAATAAGAATAGTGAGAGTGAACATCCTTGCCTTGTTTCTAATCTTAAAAGGAAAATATTCAACCTTTACCACTATGTATGATGTTAGCTGTAGGTTTTTTGTATATATTCTTTATGAGTCTGAGGAAGTTTTCCTCTATTCTTGGTATACTGAATCATAAATCAGTATTGAATTTTGTCAGATTTTTTTATTTAATGCATCATTTTATATAATGTTTTTTATTCTTTAGCCTGTTATAGTGGATTACATTGATTTTTAAATATATTGAACTAGTCTTGAGTGACTGGGAATACATCCTACTTGGCTGTGGTATATTATTTTTTAATATACATTGTTGGATTTCATTTGCTAAAATTTTGCTGAGGATTTTTGAGTCTAAGTTTATAAGAAATATTGGTCTGTAGTTTTATTTTGTGCTGTCTTTGTCTGGTGTTGGTATCAGAGAAGTACTGACCCATAAAATGAGTTAGGAAATGTCTCTTCTATTTTCTGGAAGAGATTGTATAAACTTTGTGTTAATTCTTTGATATTTGGTAAAATTCTCCAGTGAAACTATCTAGGCCTAGGGATTTATTTTTGGGGGAGCTTTTTAATTACAAATTTAATTCTTTTAATAATTACAGAACGATTTAAGTCATCTATTTAATTTTGGCTGAGTTTCAGTAGTTTGTGATTCTAGAGGAATCGGTCCATTTTTTCTAAATTGTCAAATTTATATATGTAAAGTTTTTTTGTAATATTCCTTTATTATCTTTTTAATGGCTACAGAATCTGTTATTATAGTCCCCGTTTCATCTTTAATCTTGAAGCTTATGTCTTCTCTCTTTATCTTTGTCAGTTGTTATAGAGATTTGTCAATTTTGTCGATTTTTTTGGGAAGAAATTTTTGTTTCAGTTTTTTCCTATTATTTTTCCATTTTCAATTACTTACCTTTTCTCGCCTTTTCCAAGTACTAACGCTTCTTTTCTCTTCACAGATTCCAACTCCATCTCCAAGGTCAAGAATTTTCACATCTCAGTCATCACTAGTGATGCCCTTGACCAAACTTTCCCATCCCAGCCCTTATCAAGGTTCCAGAATACAGAATATAAATGACTACAGGGTACTTGAGCCCCAGATAACCCAGCCTTTGCCTCTGGGCCCTGGGGAAAGGCCTGGTGAGTGAGCGAGTGATCTGTCCGGGCAGAACACAGAGGAAAACAATTGATATGGCCAGTATGGATTTGAGAGGCAGTGTTTCTATGAAATGAGTTAAGTCAGAATTCCCAATTCTATCACTTACTGGCTTTGTACCTGTAGGCAATACACTTAGTTACTGTTTCTTTTGAAAAGTAAGAATAGTTGTTATGTTGGTCATTTCAACCCTATAGGATTGTTTTGAGGGTCAAATGAGTATAGTTAAAAGTACTTTGTAAATGGTATATCTCCATACACATGTATTTTTATTATTATTATTATTATTATTATTATTATAAATTATTATTGCTGCCTTATTCCTCCCTCATATGCTCAGAGTCTCTCCCAAATTGAAATTTGATGGTAAATGACCTGCTTTTGTTCCACTTCAGCTTTATCTCAGCCACAGCTGTTAAGAGGGCAAAGGGTACAAGCCCCTAACCCTGTGGGATTCCTTGGAACATGGCCTCCTCCTGGTCACCCTCCTCTCATGGCACCATCAAACATCATGCAGCCTAGCTCTGCCTCCCTGCCTGAGTCTGCTCGACTGCTCCCTTTGCCTCCTGTGAGACCACCAGGTCTCGGCCCTATGAGCTCCCAGCCCCTAGCCCCTCCTGTCAGCTTCCCTGCAGCACACCCTCCAGGAGGACCAGGTGCTCCATGCTCTAGTGCCTTCTCCATCACTGACATCCTAACTCCTCATCCAGGTCAGTCTTCCTTCCATGGCTTCTCTCTTCTGGGTCATTGCCTTCCTCTCCTCCCCTCCCCACTACCAACTTGGGAGTCTCTTCGTCAAGCCAATGAAGTGAGGCCCCTTGGGCTGGAGAATGCCAACTGAAAGTATAGCTGGTCTGCAGAGGGAGGTGTGGTAGACTCCCAACTAAAATAATTTCAATGGCCTTAGACTAAAAATTTCCAATTGTACCTGACCTTGTCCCTAAATACCTCTATCCTTGTACTTTACAGGAACTCAAGATTCCTTGAAAAGTGTTCCAGCTCCCAGGGCAAACCTCCAGAGGAGAAAGGTCAGTGCACCTCCCCACCCACCCTTCATACCCACATCCTACTTCCTTACAGAATTCAGCCCAGTCCTTCCCATCCTTAGGCACCTACTCTTTCCTTTTCCCACTCATTCTTCTCCCCTCAGCCCCCTCTTCTTTCCTTCTTACATACATACACCAGTTTTCCCACTTTCTGGTTCCCCACTCACTATTCTCTCTCCTATTCACTCATAATTTCTGCCTCTCTCTCAAATCAGGGCCTAGGGAATCTCTCGGCTTAGACTCATATGCCTCTCTTTCTCTCTCTTTAGTTGCCAGCGACATTTACGTCCCCAGCACCAATTACCGCTCCAATTATGAGCCTCACTTCTGAGCCACGAGGGGTTCTTTCCTCACAGCCCCATGTCCCTAGTGTGGGTCATGCTCCCCCTGGAGCGCCAGGAGAACGCGGCCTGCAGGTGACAAGAACAGTGTGTTCCCCTTCCCTTGGAAGCCTTTAGCCCTTCTTGGGTATAGAAAATCCAGGAGCATGGTAGATGGGCCTCATTCCTCAAGGTGGAGGCAGACTCTGAGCTGGGGAATGAGGAGGAGCAGATGCCTGGTGTCTTTGTTGCAGAAGGCATCCCCTCCCCAGCTCTGCTATGCTCTAGTGGAAGCAATGTGATCCTGAATCACTGAGGATTAGTCCTTAGGGAAACTATGAGAAGGATGGTTTGTGTGTCTATCCTATCTCCCTTCTCCTTCCTCAGCAACGGCCACCAGAGAAGATGGACAGGAAGGAGCTGCCCCCAGAGCATCAGCCCTTGAAGACCAGTTTTGAGGTGCTTCTACAACGCTGCTCCCAGTCTGCCACCGACTTAGTATGTCTGAACCTTCCCCATGATGCCTGCCTCACACCCCATAGCTAGTTCCAGGACCCCTTAGCTATAGATCAGTTCCTTGTGTGACTCTTTTTTCACTGTCCCTGGACGTGCTGTCTGTATCTTATGCTTATTTCATGTCCATGCAGGGGTGGGGAGGGGGAGGAACTTATCTGGTCTGAAGCCTAGCACCTTGGTAGTAGGACCCAGCAGCATTGAGACTTAACTCTTGAAAAGGCTGCAGAGAATACTGGGAGGAGGGTGAAACCAGGAGTAAGGAAACCTGCCATTTATTCACTGGCTGTGTCAGCCTGAGCAAGTCCCTTATCCTCTTCAGGGCTCCATTTCCTCCTCTGTGAAATGAAAGAAGCAGCATTAAGTCATTCTAGCTCTAATTTGCTATGATTCTTTATAGTCCTATGTAGTGTTAGACTTAAGAGCTGGAGTTAGAATCCATTCTCCTCCTTGCAGAAGACAAAACGGAAGCTGGATGAGGCAGCGAAACGTCTCGAAAGTTTATATGAGAAGATCTGCGAGGGGACAGTAAGTACATTTCGTAGTGCTCCTCTGCCTCCTGCTCTTTCACCAACACCCATGGCCAAAGGGAGCCCGGGGGGGCCCTCCCCTTGGGACTGGAGCTGGGTTGGGCTTACTAACCTAAGGGCCAATCCCTCCGCAGCTCTCGCCTCATGTCCTGGCTGGGCTTCACGAGGTGGCCCGATGTGTGGATGCAGGAAACTTTGAGCAGGGCCTCGCAGTGCACGCCCAGGTGGTGGGCTGCAGCCGCTTCAGTGAGGTCTCCAGCTTCATGCCTGTCCTGAAGGCTGTCCTCACCATTGCTCAGAAGCTGCACGTGTAAGCCAGGCGGCCTCTCTTACAGGGAGGTCACTTCTACTGTTACTTAACTCGTCCCTGAGGAACAGGAATTTCACAAGAGATTGTTTTTCTCAACCCTCTTTCTAGCTGCCAGGTATATGATGCTGTAGTCTTGGCTCCAAACTAGCAGAGTGCCTGCTTTCTACCCCTGTGTGCCTGGCCTTCTAGGATCTGCCCAAGGCCTGCCCAGCCTTCGAGGCCGACATAGAGCCAGTTCTGCACTTTCTCTAAGACTGTACTCCGACAAGACCTGGGGCAGGGTGTATTTCCTCCCCTTCAAGGATATTCTATTTAAGTGGCTTCTGACAGGGGGAGCAGGATCATTACTTCCAAGTCTACCTCTGTTCTACCCATCTTGTGGGTCTTTCGTTTTTCCCCTTCTGTGGGTAATGAGCCTGACCTTACCCTCTCCTTGCCTCTGCTTTCATATTTCCAGGTCCATATTTCTCTGAGCCCCAAAGGCTGGGGTAGAGTTGACTGTTCATCCTTTGAACAAGTCATGGACATGAGGGGTGAGTGCTGAGCAGACCAAGAGAAGGAACTTTGGCCCCTTTCAAAAGGAACTTCTCATCTGCCAGCATTAGTAAGGGTGGGCAAGGTTAGGTGGAAGGTGGGAGGGGTGCACTACCTTTGCTGGGAGCCTATGGCCTCTGACTTGACCAAGGCCCTAGACCTTTCATTCTGTGCGTATAAGCCCAGTTTCAGAATAGGAGCCACATTAGTGAAAAACTCTTCCAGCACTGCTCAAGGGTTGGAGGCCCTTCTTCCCTTCAGCCCCCACATGTCTCAGGGCCACGTTCTCTGGCTGCACTTTCATGGTTGGGTGCTACATTTGAGGCACTGATGTATTTAATGTGCAATAAAGCTGCTTTGATTTGGTTTCTTCAGTTATCTCGCAGGAATTGTCTCCTGGGTCTTATTTTTGTATTTACCCCTCTTTCTCTCTTTGTTCTTGTTTCTTGCACCTTAATAAAGCAAGGGAGAGGCTTGGAGACAGATGGGGAGTCAAGAGAGTTGAAGAAAGGAGATTGTCAATGAAATAGACTCCTTGCAGCATTTGTGGCCACTCTGCTGTGTGTGTGTGTGTGTGTGTGTGTGTGTTTTTCTCTATCCATCCGTGCCTGACAGTCAGCTCCAGGGTTTTCCCCACACCACTTCAGGACTGAGCTCAGCTGCACAAAGGGGCTGGCTGTGAAGCCAGGGGGTACTATCTCTAATCCTGTTGTAGATCCCATCATGTCTGCGGGCTAGATGTGTGTGTTTGGGAGGAAGGGATTGTTAGGCAGTATTTGTTTATAAAGCCACTTGCTCTTCAGATAATACTTGCACTAACTTCTATTGATGAAGCAGTGTGAGCCCCAGCAAAGTCCTTTCCCAAAGTGTCTTTGAAGCCAAGAGCCCATTGAAGGAAAGAAAGGCTGGGAGAGGGGATTAGTTTGTTCAGCAGCTGTGAATTTCAGTGGGAGGTTGATGAACTCCGAAGTCTTTGTTTAAATTAAAGGGGGGGAGAAAAAAGCCGCTGCTGGAGTGAGAGCCCCACTTGGGGCCCTGAACTAACACAAGGAGAAGTCTGAGCTGCAGGGAGCTGTGTACTGACTGCGAACACTTTTCCCAAACACTTCGGAAAAGGTGTTATGAGAAGAGAAGGGGGCGGAGTGGGGGATTAGCATGTGAAATGAAGTTTTCATTGACTCCAATGGGGGTAGAAGGCTATTTTAATGGCATTTTGTTCTCTTATTTTCTCTTCTTGAGCTCTTTAGAGATATTGTTTTGCTAAGGCAGGCTTTCTTCCCCCTTCTTTCCAGTCTGCAGATTGCCTCTATGGGAGCCAACATAAATATTTCTCCTCCAGGAATGTGGGTTAATTAAAAGGAAATGAATGAGTGGAAGCATCCAATCCAGACCCACAATAGGCGAGTGCCCTGGCCTGCCCTCCCCTCCCACCAGCACCAGCACCACCAGCGCTGAGCACGACCCTGTCTCTGTCTTTGCCCTAACCTGCTGCTAAGGCCAGTTGAGGCTGAGATTCTTTTCAAGAAAAGAAAGCCCTGCCTGTGTGTAGGCTTACGGGCCAGGGACAGGAAGGAGACAGTGTTTTGCAATCCCTCCCCCCAACCAGTATCCTTGTCACTTCTCAGGTCCTCCCTCTGCTTCTGTCCTCTGGTTGAGACAGATGGGCTCCTTAAAGAGCACACAAGAGGCGAGAAGAGGCCTGGGTTCCAGTACGTACCCCATGGTAACTTACAAGCTGGTGGAAGCCAGACATCTTTCTCAGCATCAGTTTAAATCTGTAAAACAAAAAAGGTTTGACTAGCTAACCTGAAGTGTCTTCCCAAGCAGCTGTTCTGGAATTGTCCACATTTGCACAGCCCCAGTGACTGAGTCTGAGAGAGAACCTAAAACTTCGTGAATCCAGGGAGAGAAGCGTATTGTTCACCACTCTATGTCCACTCCAGTGTTTGAATGAACAAATGAATGGATGGATAATGCAAGGAGCAGGGTGGGAGGAAGCAATACAGATATAAGGTAGCTCAGTAATGTTTTCTTTATAGAATTTAAATGAATCTGCTATCGATATATCCAGTTGGGAATACAAAATAACCTGCGAAGGAACTTTCTGGCAGCGTGACATGTTTTGAGTACTAATCTGGAGTTACCAAATATGAAGCACAGTAGTTCTCCTTTTATGCTGAGAGACCTCCTGGAGAATGCAACTTTCCTTTACAACACTGTACTTTTATATTTTCTAGCTGCCTTGCCAGGTTTTCTTACTGTACACCATCAAATAATTCTGCCAAGCAGGGCAGCCAGGTTGGTATATGCTGTAGCTTCATGAGGGAAGAAGGGCAAGTTGGGAGACTCAAGAAGCTCAGATCAAAGCTGGGGGAAGAAGCAAAGGCCTTTTACCGATAGAGCTGGAAATGAACCACTAGGAGACTCTTGCCGCGTCCAGCAAGTGGTAAATCCTGCCACGTCCAGTGCGGCCCTGAAAAATCAACCTGAGTGGGAATGGTGGGAGATTGAGAAAAGAAAGAAGACAGAAAGCTGGGATCAGGAGGTCCACTGCCCACTGATGGAGGAGCAATGGCGCAGTTTTATTTTTGCAAGCTGCTTTTATATAAGCACATACAATTGCGGCTGGCATAAGCAGTTTCTCTAAAGCATAGCAACACTGTTTCTTCTACTTCTCCGGGGCCTCATTTTCTCATGACCTTCAGCTTATTTATTTTCCTGTGGCTACATTTGTACTATCTTGTTCTCAGAAGGAGTTTGCAGTGGCGAGGTAACCCTTGGTTGCCTTGCAGATTGCAAGGACCTTGTCATTTTACAATCTGCTCTCCACAGACCCTGAAGGGAAGTAAGTCCCCTGTAAGGAAGGAAGGGGAACCTCTCTCCGTAAGTATTAGTAGGACCAGAAGAGGTATAGGAATGAGGCCAGGGCTTTGGAGTCTGATCTGGTCACTGTATCAATTTGGAATATACGAGCCCTTCCACTCTCACGGGCTGGCCCCTAGAGCCTCAGCCCTTGTTACCTCCTTGGTGCCACACCTCCTCTGTGTTCTCTCCTGCTCTGGGAGAGGTGGGATGAGGTTGTCTAGCATCTGACTAATTGTGCTCCTGAAGAGCAGACCCAAGACAGGCCTAGGGGAAGGGAAATGGCTGGGAAGTTCCCTGGGCTGCAGAACATCATTCAGGAATTTGCTCTCCCCTCCCAGAGCCCTCTTTCAAAAGCAAGTCCCTGCTGTACTGCATCTCTCTAAGAGAACCAGGAGACTCAAGCACCACAAACAGCAAGCTCTAAGCTATTGAGTGAATGTATTAGTGGAAGATTTATATGGATGGTTTACTAATCCTTGGCAGATTAGCCTCAGCAAGGCCAGGATAACTAAGGCCATCAGGGAAGTCAGGCTCTAGGGAGGATGGTATTCTGGCAAGGTAAGAGGGAAGGGAGGGGTCTAGAGGTTCTATTTCCTACCTGCCTTCTCCTGTGATATGGAAAAAGGTACATATCACAGTGACTGCAATACATTAAAGATTCAAGGTGCTGAACCTCCTATTAGCAAGTTTCATTGCAGAAACTTTACTAATTGAAGGAACGTATCCAGGCTCCTAAATTCTGCCTATCTGAGAACCAGGTTAGTGAACAGGAAGGGTCCCAGCTCCTCTTTCCTTATGGCCTGCCTTTAGAGGTACAAACCAAGAAATGAATGGAAAATTGGCTTTATTGAGTTCAATCGTGGCTCAGAGGAGCTAGGATCCCTTGTGGAAAGAGAAGAGGTAAAATTGATTGCTAGGAGGAAATAGGTTAGGAGAGGGAGAAGGTTACTTTACAGGGTAGGAAATGACTGGTAATCTGATCTTACATAGTTCCTAGACACTGTGGGTATGTGAAGCACGTTGGATGATTGTCTAGGAAGGTCATCGCCCCACTGGTAAAGTCCATTAGAGATGTGGGACAAAGATGAGTAGCACCCTTGGTTTTCAGCAAGGCAGCAAGCACTCAAGGGTTCCCACTTCCCCCATCTTCAACACCTGCCTCTAGGAACTAGCCCCCAAAACATGCTTTTTTCCTGGATCAGTTTTCTCCGTTTCTCTTTAG